CACATTTCATTTATTCTATAAATTTTTTATTGGTTAATTAGTTTTTTTTGTTTTTGTTTATTTAAACATGAAAATCTAAATTATTTACTAACAATGATATAACAAGATGTCTGATATCTTTCACAAGGTCACAAATGAAATTTGACCTGTTCACATTCTTTCTATTATCTCATAAATCTTTTTTATTACATTTTTCAAAAGAAAACAATTTTTTTTAATTACAATTTCTAGTATTTAAAATATTTTCATAAATATAAATTACGTCTATTTAATGGTGTAAAAAATTTTGATTTAACAATTGCGAAGCAAAATACGACTAACACGTCCTCGTTTTGACTCCAGGATCATGGCAACCATCCCATATACTAACGTGAGCGGTAATGTGGGTGATGGATATCGACCTTATCAACCACTCTACCAATATCCACAAACGATTACGAATGCTACAAAGAGTTATTGCATAACTATTGAGTGTTCAAAAGAGTGGTAAAAAATGAATCTGTCCAAAAAGAAATCGAATATGAATGTTATGTAATGGTTCTGTGTAAGCAGTGCAAAAACAGCTATCCCACCCCGGTATTTATGCCGTGCTTCTATGTAGCACTCTTCTCTAGAAGGGTCTACTCGGCTTCACCATCCCTATGCCTGGAAGGGGTATTTAACAATTATTTTTTCATATATTCAGAATCAGACAATCTATACTGACTGACTATTGTGTTTATATTTGTAAATTAATGAACTGAATATTCATATGACATAAGAACACCAAAAATGGGTGGTCGATATAAAGGTTTATACAAATAATAAGAATAGTAATATTCAATTTATAATTAAATAATTGTAACCTTCAAACTTAGTTATATCATTTCAATTAGAAGTGGACTAGAATATTTTTGTTTCCTTTTTTTGTTTTTTTCTTTGTTGTTTTGTTTCTATTGATTGAATTATGATTGAATGTTACATTATTAAAAAAAAACAAAGAAACGAATAAAATATTTACGTTGTACCAAAAAAACGAAACATAAACAAACAAGTGAAACAAAGAATTTAAAAAAAAAAAATGGAATCAAATGTATCTAAATTACTGAATCATTGATTTTTTAATTAAATTTCCTTAAAGAATTTAGAATTTAGATTTTATCTTTCCTTAAAGAAATCAATCATCTATACTTGTAGGTCTAAACTAGTCTATTGGTTTAATTGTACTCGAATCATTATGATGAGATTGTTGAATGACGAGATGCATCTTCATTTGCCGTTATCAACAAATGAATAAACTGATTTGTTTATACTAGTTTAATAGTATACAACTGATCTCAATAATTATTTCATAAAGAATGTAACAAACTATCTTAATTTTAACTCAGATTACTAATATATGTCTATTAGTAATGTTGACATCTTGTTCATACATTGTACATTATTCAAGTTCATAAATTTTGAAAGGGATTAGAATAAATTTACCAAAAGTTACAAGAACTTCCGTCTTAATTAGAGTGAATAGTTTCACAGCATTTGGGCGCCGAGTTGATGTAAAACATTAAATAGGAGTAATATATTTGTAAAATCTCAGCGAATGAATTTGAAGTAAATCCAACGTTTCGCCTGGCAATCTAGTCCAAATATATTATTCCTACTTAATGCATTACCAAAATTTAGTTACTCATAACCACAATAAACTAGAATTAAAATATAAAATAAGCTTATTGTCTACCCGTCAGGTTTTTTTTTCAATTTTTCCCTGATTTACTAGATCCTCAGTCGAAACTATACAGTTAATTCTACTTGAAATTTCCAAAGTTATAGAAATCTATTGTTGAAGAGCCTGGATACATTTGGTTTGTTTAAATATTTAACATCTACGTCATAATATAAATTCACTTGGTATTGTTTGATTCAATCTTCCCATTGACATTTAGGACTGCAAACGTGCATACTGTGTGCGTTGCCTCGATATAGTCTTAATTCACAAGAATTATAAGCAAAGATGGATAGTGGCTAGTAGTGGAATCCAAGACACGCGTTTCGTCATGACGAGTCCCAAATAGGATAAAACACGCATCCTAGATTCTACTGCCAACCACTATCTATGTTTGCTTATAATACGTCATAATATGTTTCCAACATTTTGCTTTGACTCTATTTCTGATATTATGTAATTAAAGGTAACAGATAGAAAACATCATTTAATCCAAGTTTCGCATTAGATGGGATTCACCAAAAAAGAGACTTGGAATCTTACATCATATTCATCACAAATTCAAATCCATGTTAACCAATATCACTGTCATAGATTATCCTATTGAATTACTTAAACATCGGTCACTAACTTTTTTTCAAATTCATTCTTAGTCTTTTTCTATTCTCAAAATTAAAAGTTTTTCTTTATTTTCCCCTATTTTCTTGTATACTGATTCTCAAGAGAATTAATCTGAACAGAAGCATATAGATTTTTGTTAAATCTTATGCTCTTTTATATGTCTATACATTTACCTATCTGGACAAATAGTTTTAATGTGGTGTGGTGATTTAAACATAAATAAATGAATCATTATTGAACCAACAGTATCTTCAAAGTCTATTTATCATTTTTCCGTATGTTATCGTTTTAACTGAGATTCTTTAAATCTTTTTGAGTCAAAAAAAATAGTTGTTGTAATTCCGAAAATTCTATAGTTGAACAATTATTGGTTTCCGATTGGGATATTATTTATTGATTGACCTTGACACTTCTTAAAAAACAAACAAAAAAAGTATATTCTTTTAGTATTATTTGTTTGAATCTTCCCATTGATGTTTAGGACTGCAAATGGTCAGTCCTTTATTGGCATATGTGCATACTGTTTGTATTGCCTCGATATATCCTTAATTCACAAGAATTATAAGCAAAGATGGATAATGGCTAGCAGTGGAATCCAGGACGCGCGTCTCGTTCGGTTTAAGACTCGTCAGCTGGATGTACCTCCATTTCAAAGTTGATGTTCACTATGAGACTCGAACCCAGTAACTGAGATTTTTTTTAAATCTTTTTGAATTAAAAAATAGTTGTTGTAACTGCGAAAATTCTATAATTAAATACTTATTGGTTTCCGATTGGGATATTATTTATTGATTGACCTTGACATTTCTTAAACAAACAAACAAAAGAAGGAAATGTTATTTTGGACAGTCTAACATTTAAAATTCCATAATCATCTAAAGTCAATACTAAAACTCCAATAATCACATGAACATATGCAAATATAAAATTATATTGGTTATATTGACATACAAGAGAGCATGTACATACCGATTATCAGGCATATGTACTAACATCAAGTATTTCATTAAAAACATTGACAAGATAAAATGTTCATAATGCATGTACCTAATACAGTAATCGAAACTTGTAATTTCTACCGGTTAAGCTATAAAATTCAGAGAAGGAATGTCCATTCACGTACTAATCAGTTTAAATAACAAATAAAAAAGTAATACACAAGCAAAAACTTGTCTAGTATCTGGGATAGAATAGTAAAATTTTATTTTTTTTCTCTGTTATCCACTAAAAATACAAGGAAGAAAAGTAATAACTTTAAACAATCCAGATAATACTCAATACAAGTATTTATATGATACTTAGTTTGTGGTCTATCAAAAAGCCTTAAAAACTAATGATTGAGTTTAATTGTAACTTTGTAATTTTTAGCAAAACAACTCAGCAACCAAGTTTATATTAAAGTATCTGTTTTTGGGCCACGCCTATTATCATTTAAAAGGGCTATTTATACTATTTGGCTGGTGTAAAAACGGAATAAACCAGTCATAGGGTCTATGTTTGCAAGTTTACATTGAATTCAGTTAATTGAATACGCGCGTAAACTCTATTAGTTTAGCCTGATTATCTTCTTTAGATAAATTTATAGTGAACAGAGTATTCTTAAATGACGTAATTTGTGAAAATTCTGCTCATTTGATGATAGTATTTTTCATGGTGAATATCTATCTCCAAGGAGAGAGAGAGAAAGAGTAAACAGTTTTGGAAGAAGTAGTGGGATATCTGATTCACCATATTTTCACAGAAAGGATGAAATTCCATCCACTCTATGACTACTTGAAACCTCAAACGAGTTTTTAACCTTACTAAATTTCACGTTAGTGAAAGAGATAGATTTTATTGAGTTAGTCGTCACAAAAATGAGTTTTGAAACAGTGCCATTTAAGAATTCATTATTGTTCACAAAACTATAACTGAAAAGGTTCGCAATGGTTGATGAGTGGTTTGTAAAAGTGTCATTATTAAGCATGTATGGTATTTCTTCATTTCGAGTTTCCTCAATCCATTTATTGAGAGACGAATTAACTTTTGTACATTTGAGCTATTATTATGTGCCAACAAATCCTCATTAATGGATTCTAAACTGCGCTCTTCTTTAGTTTAGTTAGAAATCATAGTTGTTTTTACAACTGACGTGAAATTATCTGACTTAAAATAACGTTTGTGAAGGCCTCTTGATTTATTACGAATTTAACTGATATAAATAACCAGTTAGGTCTGACAGATCTGTACGTTTTAATAGGTGAGCATGAATAATTATTGTAAAGTTATTGTAAGATAAACGTTATCATTAACTTAGTACCATAACTACGACAACAGTAAAGACAGCGAAACGTATATTGAAATGAAACCACTAACGAAAACTAGGTGGAAAATTACTGTTTATTGAATTTGTCATATATTACCCAATCGATTTCACTGAAACAAATGCCTGGTAAAATTGACATGACACATATGACACGATCTAATTTTCAGTTCAGTAAGAAGACGTCAAGTTACCTGTAGCGATTTATTGAATACAGAGTTGATTAGGAAATCGAAAACTTTACAAGCATATAAATTCTAGTGCACATCTCACTGGAACATCGGAACTCAGTAAGCACACAAATGGATAGAACATTGGTAAGGAATTCATGCATGTAACCGATCAAACCAAATCGATTACTCTTTCATTTTCAGGTAGTCGTACTAATTTTCACCCTCACTGTTAACTATCTTGGTGTGACATACTGTGACGAAGGTGAGTTATACATGAACAGACACACTTCTATCACTTATTCAATTTCTCATTCACCCATTTATCTGATCAGTAGTTCTTTCTGTCACTGGAGTGTGTTATGACTCACTTACGCATCCTACAGTATATTACTGGAGCAGTAAACAGAATTGATCTACGATACCGATAACTATCAAAACCTCCATTTATTTTTCTTCTTTCATCAACATCACCCTATATGCATACCGAATGGAACTAGTTAAATTTGATTTATACTAATTCAGCAAGGTGTTGTTTTCCACTTTCCCATATAGATGCAGCCGCAAAACCAACTGAATCTGCTCAAGCACCAGCCTCTGTGCCTACAAAGTCTGAATCCTGTAAGTCGATTCATAAAGCATGATCCTTCTCACAGGATTTATACTATTGATTGTTAGAAGTATGTGTTCTGGTTGTGTGCATTAACTCAACATGAACATATTTCTTAAGAGAGTTTTTCACTCGATCAATCAAGTGTTTTACTCACATAGGATGTTTTTCACCCGATGTGTTAGTAGTAAACGCTACCGGTCTCCCAATACATCGATGTAGTTTGTTTCCTCCATATTTACGGCAATTACAGGTGAAAACATGAAAACCCAAATACTACTACTTTGACATTCTCAAAATAATTTTATTCTCATCAGAACTTATTGCTGTAGACATAGATTGTGCACAGAATATGTGATCAGTAACCAAACAGTAGTTTTGGAGGGGTGGATTTGATAAACAAGATTTGTGAAAATCGGAGAATCAAACCGATTTCACTTGTTAACTGACAGGTAACTCATAGTCATACTATTTTAGTTGAGTGGTTTGTCGATTGGTCGTAGCAACGACTTTGTAAGAAATGTAGGACAGTTAGCTAGAGCAGATCTATCATCTGAAGTACTTTCGTTTGAAGCCCTATCTTATCAAAAGTCATTGGCCTGACCATTTCAGTCGTTTCAGTATCTTATCAAATGAACTGGATGTTTAAAACAATCTGATCATCCTCAATATAAATAGCTATTAGAGTAGATTGATTAGATAGGGAGGTTCTAAGTTTGTGAACAGTATACAGTTAGTCAATATGGAGTTGTGGAGACTGTTGAATTTCATTGAAATCACGAAGTTAAACTTGCACACCATTGGATCCCGACTCAGTGGTCCACGGGTTGGACACTCGCTCGTGAAACTGAAGGTCTTGTGTTCGATCCCCGGTTTTGGAGTTGTAGATACGTGCTGATGTAGAGTCCCACACTCGGACGAAGCAGCCGTTCAGTGTCTCCAGGTTTTCAATGGTTTTCTAACCCATAACGCCTCACGAATTCAATGGAATACACATTTCGTCCGATCCAGACATCCATATTCGGCTTCTCAATCTAAGTCTTCCACAGTAGTGCAGGCATCACAGAAAAAATCAGGTCGAGCCTAGGATCAAAATCTACGTCACGTGGACAGTGTTAGTCACCACATAAAGTGAACTCAACATCCCACTCAATCACTCCACCACCCCACCACACACACACGCACACTTATATCAGTGATCACTGTGACCGAATGAGTTTTGACTAATCAATATCTACCTTATCAATCTTTCAGGTACCCCTGGCAGAGGGAAACCTAGGAGAGACTGGATGAAAGTGTATGGTAAGTCGAGTGATACTCGTTTCCCACTACGAAATTTAAAACATGAAAACTATTGACCGGATATTTCTATGTTCACCGCCTGTGACCCACACTCATGTAACTAATCAATCTCTCATGCAAATTTAGTTTATTGCACTCGGTTCATCATTTCTATTCTGTTTTTAACGCTTTATGCTGGGGAATGACAGCTGTTCATTCACTCCACTACGTCCAGTTTGTCACACTGAAACAGTCCCTCACACTGTCAGTCATCTCGTCAGTTTGTCAGCACATGTACTTAACTATGTGTATTTACCCATTCATACTTGAGACCGAGATCAGTAGCTGATTATTATTTTCACCGTCTATTTTTCCATTTCCAGGCTTGAAAAAGGCGAAAAAAGAATGAACAAAACGATGAAAATTTGGTGGGAGATCGATTCTCCACATTGAAATCTATGTTTCCTGACGAGTAAATAAAATGATATTCCTGAAAACTGTTTTCTGTTTTCTACATTTTATGGCTTGTTCGATTGTCAATCTCCGTCTGACATTCTGTCAGCTGTTGAAAAGTCTGTAAAAACGATTCTCGACATAACATATGACATAGAAAGAGAGGGCATGGAATAGGAAGAGAGCAGTATTTTTGTTCTCAAGAACATCTATTTATTCGATATGCATACATATAGATAAACGTAAAGTAAATTCAATAATAATCTTTTGTTACTTTTATGATAATCTATGAGAATGAATTCAATGCACGAAATGAAAATGATGATGAATGACTGAGATCTCTCAACGATTTTTAATCCTTTTTATATCGCACTTGTTAGTAAACCTCACTTATCATATGCGCAAATTCAGCGGTACTATTTTTATATACAGCTAGATGTGTTTGTCACTGAGCTACTCGGTTAAAGACTAACTTCCTGTAAAGCCATGTTTACATGTATTGAACCAGTTGTCTCCTATATTCTGTCACTAGTACAAGCGGTCAAATCTTATATACGTCAATATTTTCGGATTTTAAATATCAAGACATATTTTCCGATTAGTCGCCCTATGTGAATAATAATTTACTCCAATATATCTTCCCTACCATCAGAATATCAATTGCGTGGTTTGTTTTTAATTGTTCAATCTATCTATAACCAATTAACGGCTTGAACTTTTCCTTCGTATCCTTTTAACTGTGATTAGAATTCAATGAATTTAACGGGAAGAATTCGTACTGCTGTTCTTAAAAAAATTTAATTTTAGTTTACTGAACGCAGCCGAAAGTTAACGTTTGACTTAGATTTCATGCTATTTAATACTCGTCAGTAAGGTCTACCTGAAACTCTCAACAAATGGATAATCTCCGAAGGACTCAATTCTATCCAGTTATATAGTGCCAAACTATAGTACAATATTTAATCATTTACACGATTGTGTTTATACTTGATTAATATAATTTTATCAATTTCAAGCTGTAAACAAGCACGATATTGATTACTGTTACTTAGTGATCCGGTAAGCAGCTGAGAAACATTTTATTTCCTTGTGTAACCATAATATGGAGTCCGCTAAAGGCTATCTCACTTGGGAGAATTCATTCTCAGGACCTTCGCATTTACAGTAACGTTAGTGATAGCGAACAATGGCATTGATTGAGAACGCTTTTGAGTTCACTGCTCTCCTTCCATATCCAACCGGACAATCAGAATACGAATATAGCAATTCGTTTTACATTATGTCATGACTGAAAGTGTCACAAGATTATATGCATAGACTACTCGCGCACAATGGATCAAAAATAAGGATTCATAATTTGTACTTATGTAGGTCATATATAATATAAAACTGAGTAAGAGGTGGATAGTTATTTTACAGTATTTTATGTACAAAGAAACGTATGTTGACACTTATGTGTCAAATGAAGGCCCACAATTAGGATCATAAACCAAATATTCCGTAGTTATCCGATGAAAATGTTGTTGTATTAGTCAGTTGTCCGATTTAGTGTACTAATACATACATATACACTATATAGGTGGTTTCTCAACTAGCTACTTGCATGAGAAAACTATGGGTGGGTAGGAAGCTCTTATTGACTGATCGAATTAAAATCTATGCAAAAGCTCATTTATCAGTATAGGTATATGTCCCTCAAAACATTGAGCTTGATTTTCAGCAAATAAATTATATTTATCTCCCCTGTAAAGTTGATCCGAAACTTAAGAGCAATTAATCATATTGGTTTTCTGTAGAACTTCGTTTAACTATGATGTATCACTGCCAAATAGTACACTTCGGGGATTTCCGGTCGTTTCTCAAAGACGGATATGGAGTTAATAGGGGTTTTGTTTTTTACGTATACAGATTTCTTAGAGCATATAAGATACGTTTTCATTGTTACCCATTGAATATATCTAGAACCAATTGGTGTGGATTACTCAGTAAACCCTATTGTTAAATCCGAATCTCCAGACATCGGGTTACGAAGGTACAATTGAACAGGCTTACAATCGCTAACTCAAATTGGGTCTAGTCCAAAAGGAAATACAAATACAAATAGTCAATGTTAATAGTATATGTGTTCAGTATGCGTCTAGCATTGGCATCCAGAACTTCGGTTCCATTCTATTCAGGGCTCATCAACCTGCTGTCCTTTGCTCCAGAATTTATTATAAAGCTGGTTGTTTGACTCGTATTGATAACTCTCCGGCTCCAATACTTGTTGTATACTGATTACCACTCACCCGATCCACGTGAAATTGAACGATAATCGTATTCTCTCCTATGCTACCGCTTACTTATCAGGTCTCTACCGCACCTGTTTTATACATTTATAGTTGGTGATTCAAGCACTCAACTTGTCCATCCATCGTTTCATTATTTACATATAGGTTCTGCCTTGGAATATACTATTTAGTGCAAATATACTTGTGCACTTACTTTTAGACCCATTGAACACGTAAGCGTTCGTCATTCGCAAGTAACACTTGTGTAACTGTCCACACTTGTTACGTGCCAATTTTGTCAGTTTCTATATGTATCTATTTCCACGAATTTCGTTGTCATTTCGTATTACTAGTTTCCAGTCTACTATTGTAATTATTTAGTAACACAGGTGGTTTTAATCATAACGCCGATTAACTACTTTGTACTTTTCATAGCCCATAGGTGATATGTTGCTATCTGCTCAACTTTAAAGTGCATTCATATCTTGAAGAAACAATTACGAATTTACAAATACACACATGGAAGACGTACGTGAATAGGAGAGAATAGTTATGCCTGTGAAAGTAATCGCAATATGTTTATTAGACTTAACAATGACACATATGGTGGAAGAAACCCATTCTGTCGTTAAAGAAGAATTAAAGATAGTTCAGTGAAGAATCTATCGGCGTATATGTCACACCATGATTGACTGGATCAAAGAAACTAATTTGCTTGCCCAGCCTTTTGAACTTGCTAAAATAAGAAAACTTCACTTAGGTGTGTATGCTGCATTCTCATCAGAGGGTTACCACAAACATGTCAAAATACTTGCTAGTCAGTTATTCAGTATGAGTATCGATAGCAGTTTGTCTGTTAGGACTATATAACTAGGGGACGCTATAAAAGTAGACTATGTGCAATATCATGAACGTAGTACCATCGCACAGTTATTGGCCTTAATCGCTTGGAGTTAACCGGAGTGGTGTGACTCGCTGACTTATGCAACATCACGTTGAAACTACACTAGTCAATTAGTCCTATACCGCCTCACCTTACACAGTGGAAAGGCTTTTCTGCTTCCTCAGTACATACAAGGATGAAGTCTTATCAGCCAAGATTAGATTTAGATGAAAATAGGAGTGATGAATAACGTTGACTGTGTATAACTACCCTTCTATTCATACCGATACCAACCAACCAACCAATTAGATAATTAGCATAGACAATTATTGGCTTTGACGAGTTACACTAAAAACTCAACGTTCGCATACTTCTACTTATTATTATTATTATTATTATTATTATTATTATTATTATTATTATTATTATTATTATTATTATTAATGGCTTTATTCAATATTATAATCTGGTACAATATAGAATTCTCAGCATTTCAGCAGTATGTCAGTCAAATCAACTCCTCTTCAACCTTCTCACCATGTTTGTGTTTATTTCATTTGCCTTTTAGATGATAGAAAATCGGTGCAAATTCTGAGGTGAACGCAGCCAGTGTGTTCAATGACAGTTCCTTCACTTTTACATATGTACCCAATGACAACTGAATAAAATGTTAGGCCTTGAACCTTGTGTTTTTTACGTTAGCTGGCCCCTTCGCTTACCTGTTCTTCTGAATGTTGTATTGAGTGAAATTGATTGTCACTCTCCTGTAGATATCTGTGTCCGTTGGTGACCTCACAATCAACTTTGGCCGTGCTGTTTGCAGACTTACATCTTCCATCTCCTGTTGTCTCTGTTTCGCTATTCGCAATTATATACAAATCTTCGTTTTTTAATATTCCTTCGATCTCATACATTTAGTTGCCTTTATCCTCTTGAACAGAGCAATACCAAAGAATTTAGTAGATTAACATGTACTCATTTTATTTCATAAGGTTCCCATTAGCTGCTTGCAACTTACAATATCTAAAATAAAAATTATTGTAAAGTTTACATACTTATCACAGTAAAAATGGATATTTATCATCATGGTGGAGTAATGGGGTTGAAGACATATAAAGAGTGTCGTAAATAGATTTAATATATGAGAGAAGATTCTGGATCATCAGAAATAGTAACAAGGAATTGTAGAGACTAAATAAGTAATTGATTGTATAATGAAGTAACTGAACATAAATTAATAACATTTAAGAATAATAACACGAGTTGAAATTAGTCAGTTAAAAAATAGATAATGTGGTTATGACTTCGAAATAGCTGATGAGATTAAAATAGGAGAGAGAGGGGGGGGGGAATTTGCAAAACATGATGTAATAAACTGACGATAAAGTGACCATGATAAAGAAAGATTTGTAATTGTTTCCCTTTACATACAAAAGTCTGGATTTAGTCGTTCAATAGCTATGGATTAGACAAATTTGAGAAGAACAGCATTTGACTGTCGATTGATGATACTGAAAGATTTTAGTCTATCAACTTAACACCCTGTGTCACACAGATGCCTTGCAATAGCACCGCTAAAAGCCTTGAATCCCATTGGTCGAAGACCTTTCGGGATATGTTCTTGGGATTGAACGTAGGTCCTTCTTACTGTTCTACCAGTTTAACTGCTCTGACAGGTACATATAAATTTATATACGCAGTTGGCGGTAACGTGTCAGGGTTACCTATTGATCTTTGATTGGAGTGAGGAGCATATTGTTTTGTACAAGTTAATCAGCTTGGCTGCAGGATAAGTTGTGGTCAGTGTGCCTTTTAATTATCTGTTTATTGTAGCTGCAATATGATCACCTTTAAATTTAAGTTCAATGAAAATTGGTCTCTTATCTACTGTGGTTTCTTTGGGCGTTTTGTCTTTACTTTTCCAGAATTCCTCAAAACATTTCTCTGGGTACCCATTATTCCTTAAGCACATTTTCACGTTCCTTAATACTGCTTCTAGTGTATCGGTAGTGCATGTCCTTTCCGTTCTGTGAAACAGTGTTTTTATCAGTGCCTTTTTGTAACTGATTGGACAAAAACTGTTAAAATTCAGAGAACTACCATCCGATGTATCTTTTCGATAAAGGGGACGTTGAATTCTACCATCCTCCCTCCGTTGAATGGCAATGTCGAGAAAGTAAAACTTATCATCCTTTTCCCGTTCCATAATAAACGTGATATTCCTTCTGTCTCGTCGTTCCGTTTACTGTTTTTACTGTGCATTTTCAAACCTTATATGTCCTAATGGATCCTCGATAGCTACAACTTTTTGCTGTTGTTCATGTAATCTCTCATTATTATCACATTATATCCTACCTTCTCTCTTTAAAATCTACATCTTTCTTCTTCCGAAAGCGATTTTTTTCTGATACATTATATCTCCATCACATGTTTGTAAAACCTGTTGTTCATTAGCTATTCGTTAATGTGCACCACGTTATCATCTAACTTCACTGACAGAATCATTTCCAGTACATAAAATCCTGTTTTGAGTAGAATAGGCTTCTAATAACTGGTGTATTCAGCACCATAATAAACAAGTACATTTTATGTACACATATAGAAATGTTGCTTGAGAGATTGTCTACTAGAAGACATTCGTCGATAAAAGTAACGCTCCTCTCTCTCTTTCTCTCTCTCTCGAAATGCTTCTGTACACTAAAACACACGAAACTAAATCAATTTCGAATTCAATTCTTGTCTAATGTGTCCTTTAAACTAGTCCATTCGGTATACAGCCATGAAAAGTGTTAAATGTTATCGACTTCCCATATCATTTTTAGAGTATGTTCAACTTTTTTTCAACTATAAATTCCAAGAACTTATACCTCATAGAATATATATTGTAACAATATGTAAAATAAATGAAAATGTTATATAGCCTAAATTCGATGTTTATTTATTGCTGTTCTATCATTAATTTTCAAAAATTTATGGTTTCATGTTCATTTCATCTTAGGTTCATCAATGCCAAACTTAATTTAAGATAATAGTTGTTTTATTGGTTTAGGTTTTTCTTTAACATGTTGCCAAGTTATGTATACAAATTTTAATAATTATAATAACAACACTCCAGTTTTCTTCCTCCAACGGTTTATGCACATCTGATATTAATTTCCTTTGAGCTAACGTTCTGAACTATAATCAGGCGTACTGATTTTACTTAAACCACCAATTAAAACTGGAAACTAAAAATGAATAACTTTATCGTTTTACTGTAAGACATTACCTGTTCACATTCCCTTCCTAGCCAAAAATCTAACTCAGAGCTTTCAAGCCTGTTGACTGGAGGTTGTCCGATGTCTTAAATGAATGGTTAAGAATCAATAGCAAATGCTAATTGTCCGTTACAGTTACTTTAAGAAGATGAGTTATGATATGTGCAGTAGTATTTTAACACTATTTATTATTGACCACAACTAAATTTAGTAATTGATCCAACTACAAATCGTAACTCTTTCTTGCTATGTGTTTCAACTGCACGATATTGTAAAGACTGTACGTTTGTTACATTTCGACCCTTTCCTGTCTACCAGTTGCGATTAAACGACTCTTCAGTTTATTATTATTATTATATAAGTAGTATTCTAATTTGTTACTTTCATCTTGTATATATAGGTGAGACTATATGTTAGCGCCTATGTCACATAAATCAGATAACCAGTAATCAATTCATTGAGAACTGGAAAACTTCCCGCTAACGAAATAAGGATAAATGTCTATGGAACGGGAAGGTTCGTTTTCAATAAGCTACCTAATAATTTGGCGTAAGACAGAAAGCTATTTGAAAATTTCATTAACCTATGTTAATTACATAAACATTGCAAGTTACCAAAACTCTGATCATTCTATCTACTTCCGACATTTTTTCAAAGTGCACCGAATATTCTGTGTAAGTGAATTAAGTTTATATACTTAAATGACTACATGTGCATTTTCTTCTTTCTTTTATACCTGTCTCTCTCGTTCGCGTATGCAAACTCCTCTAAATGATCTACAAATAAATAACAAGTTCACACTTCACTATTTTCTTCGGAACCTGTTCTTTCAATTACTGAATCGACACAATAATTATCTGTTGGAAGAGTCCCAAGAATATCCCTCGTCAAAATCTCTAGCGGCCCAGATATGCTTGACGTTTTGTCCAATCAGCTTTGGAAAGAGTCTTCTCAGAAACATTTAGAAAATGCAGAATCCCGTGTCACAGTTCTGACTGGATATTTAGACATGCTGTTAATAGACTTAGCATGGTTCAGAAGTCCCTAGAATCCCAAGGTTGTGTGTAACTCTGTAAATCCCCTCTTTTTTTCTGTGCATTAACTAACGTTGGTGTAAAGCGTTATTTTTGTACTTCACCCCTCCTCTCTTTTGTTCAACTTTCCGTGTGGATTTAGCTTAGGGTTATTGGCAAACAGCTATAAAATCGGATCGAGTGTCTACTTAAGAGACCCAACATTATCAACAAGTGAACCATATACTTCAATGATACTTCTAGAATACTTTTTTCTATGAAATCTATGTTGTACAAGTACTATACTTTTACTGCAACCACAAACCGATCAAAGTTGGTTGGTCGCACACTGTTGTGGACGAATTGAAATAAGACTTATACACTGTTAGATCCTGCTTTAGTGATCTAGAGGTCAAGCATTCGTACGGGAGACTGAAGGACCTGGATTCGACTACCGCATCCGTTGTTATCAATGAGCACTGCTGATAAGTCCCACACTAGGAAAAAACAGCTGTCTAATGCTTCGAGGTTTTCAGTGGTTGTCTGACTTGTATTAGTTTATGATTTAAACAAAATTCAATAATCTCCACAACCTTAAACTGACATGTATAATTTCATGTAAAAACATTATGAATATTATAATTTACTTGAACAGTTGTCAGTTAATTCAACCACCCACTTAACACATTGTTAAGCTACATTAACCTTTGAAATTAAATGCGATTTTATAACTTAGGCATCCCAATTACTACAACGATCATCACAGTTACTACAACTATGCTATGCATCACATGGAAAGCTAACAATAGTTAGTCATTGTTTCACCAACCTTTTCTTTACAGTTTTATTACATTAAAACTTATTACAAAATGATTTCAACTAATTTGAAAGTCTTTCTAATCTACAACATAATTGTTTAAAACACAATAACAAAGTACAAAGTCATCCATTCGACTTTGAACTATACTGTTTGAGTGATGGCTAATTGATTGTTGAAATGAAAAATAATCAGAGCAAAGTTCAAATTTCCATGCTAATCTCTAACAGTTTAGTATTTAATTTATATCACTATTATCTTTATACAATGAAAAAACATAAATCTATCCCATTATCACCTTCTGTACAGTTCTATGATAATAATAAATATGATTTCATGATGATAATCTTTAATAATAATGGATAAAGTTAATTAAATACTAAATTCTAGTCAAATAAGAAGCACATCAATAACACATGAAATCAACCTCCTTTCCGATACGTCAATTTTTGTCAACTATATCAGTTTTAGACTAGTAGCTTAATATTTGAAGCACTTAACATTCAAGTAGTAGGCCAAAATTGACACCTCATTCCCCATAATTCAGATTGGCCAGGTAAGCATTCTCATATGGATTCACACATACATATATACACAAAGCGATTTCATATATCCAGTATCTTGGCAGATAATTATAAATTTAAAGAAGACTTGGTTATATCACAAGTTCAACACTATTAATCTTCTACTTCCAAATATCTTAGTAGCATACAGTTCAACCAAACAATTATTCTTTTCCTAAAATAATTTACATACAGTGGGACAAAGTAAATTAATGTAGAAATAGACAAAGTAAATCGCTTAATAAATTTATAGTCTGCATTAACACATATTCTTCTAATATACGTTGTATGTTCTTATTTCAAGCTATTAGTAGTAAGAAAATAAACCATAGCTTTAATAAACAATACTTCAGAAAAGTTATTCAAAAAACAGAAAACGAGCCTAGTATTTGATTGAGATCATGAATCGATTGATATCAGACCACCAGTAAAAACCTAGAAGCACTGGACGGTCGTTTTTTCCTAGTATGGGACTCCTCAGTAGTGCACACTCACGATCGTGCTCGCGGGATTTCGTACTTTCGTGGATTAGTTGAGTTTGGATGCAGGCTGTGGTTTGGAAGTTAAGCGTTCGCGTGCGAGATCGAAGGTCCCGGGTTCGATCCTGCGAGAGGTAACATGGATGAGCATTGCTGAGTCACATACTGGGACGAAACGGCCATCCAGTGTTTCCAGATTTGAACTACTTAACTTTCTACCATTGAGTCACAAATTCGAATGTGGCTTCATCTATTTGGGTTTAGGAGAAACAAAATAATCCCCAGCAAATGAATTAGTATAATAATTCACTGGTCTTTATTTTCTGTTTGTGATAATAAGTGTTATCAATGAGTAGCTGTCTGAGTCTTGATTTGGTCCACTGATATCATTCAAACATCATATTTACATGACCACGCTTGAATATATACACAAGTGACAATGTGTTTATGTGTAACTCTCTACGCTTGGAGAGTAAACATCGATATACATGTAGACAAGTTCATTAATGAGAAGTCAGAATTAGAACAAATGAATAAAAGTAATCCCTTTCGTAAGATAAAAGTCTAGTCCAATTCTAGAGAAAACTAAATTGTTGTCCTTTTTTCAACAGTTTTACTGACCTGATCGAGTAGAAACATCTGAAGTGAACTTTTTTTTTAAAAATGATCAAAGAGAATATACTCGTTTACTGATTAGTTGTATATGTACGCAAAATAACTCAACAATGTATTTCGATACTCGATACCTTAAAAACACTTTCTGGTATAAAGCAACTTTACTTCACAAAACCACTGGATCAGTTTGAACCTATACAAACACACGGAGTAATTAAAGGCAATTAAAACACGACAAACAGTTTTATGTGCATGAATGAAATACATTTATGTAAAATATGACATACGTGTGGTAGACATAGAGAATTACCTACAGAATAAATCAACCCTATCTTGATTATGTAATAATCATTATAACAATAAACAATAATAATAACGATAGTAATCATAAATAGTATTATTATTATTAGTATCATACTCCTGGAATCTGTGACGAAAAGGCCTGTAAATCAAGAGAGGGTGAAGAAAAATACAGACAAGAAAGAATATCCATAAACAAACAAACAATAAATTAGACATGCTCATGTACTTGGATGGATTTTTTAGTGTCATATGTATATATGTATACATACATATTTGTGTGTGCGTGTCCCTAGTATAGGAGTAGAACAGTAAAAGAAACACCTTTTTTACACACTTATACGGAGCATACAGATACAAATAAAAGTGACCGGGGTGTACAAAAATGTGCCGAATTTACTACAAATACCAAAAAATATGTATGCTAGTTGAAAATATATATTAATTGGTACTACTACTAGACATAGTAGTGGTAATGATAATTGTGACCACTACTATTACTGCTACTACCAAGCACCAATAATAATAGTAATGCTGATAGTAGTAATAGCAGTATTAGTTAGTAGTAGTGATATTATTAGTAGCACATTTTTTGTGCTGTAATCAGAACAGGAACTGGAGAGAGAAAGAGTAATAGAATCATAAGGAAAATGAAAGAACTTGGGAAATGGATTTTTTCAGAAAAAAAAAGGGAGAACACACAAGAATAGGAGGAATATGTAGTAATAGAAAAAAAGGAGACGAAGAAGAGGAGAAAGTAAGACGGGCAGTATAACATATTCGTCAGTTTTAATAATATTCTATTTATTATTATCAGCATTATTAAAACAAGAAAAATAAATAATAAAAGTGAGAACTATACAAGAAATTACAATTCATACATTGGCGCCTAATTGAACAAAGAGAAAAGTCGATAGACTCAGTTATATCTATAATAATTGAAATACAGAAAACTTGCTTTTCTTCACTTGTACAGGTAGTGTGTTTACCAAACAAAAATCAACAAGTATACACTTCGACCTTTCTACGTTGACTAAAACACTTCCAGTATATCATGAATTGTATACGTTTATGTGTATGTATGTGTAATTATGTGGAGGACAGACTATAGAGTACAGGACAACGTATGTATAGGATAATTATGACAAATAGTCATTATTGGTTAAATTAAGTGGACGGTTAGTAGAAACATGTTGTTGTTTTTGTGCAGTACACGTTGAAGATAATGATGACAATGCAGAAGATACAAATGAAGGGGTGGAGGAGGAAGAAGAGGACGAAAAAGATATCGAGGCTGATGTTGACGACAATGAAAAAGAAGATGATCAGGGAAAAGAGACAGAGGCGATAAGTTGTGGGGCATCTGAATTCACAGACAGACCAGAAGCAGAAGTAGACAACAATGATGAAGAGGAAGTAATATTAGCAATCATAGTCGTGGGAATTTTATCACAATCAACAGTAGTAGTAGTATTACAAGTACTAGTACTACTAGTAGCAATAGTAGTAGTAATATTCGATTTAATATCTTTAATTATATCTGAAGAGTACAATAAAGATGATGACGATGATGATGAAGATATCGTAGAAAGTGAATCTCTAGAAGAACTTTTAAACGAACTTGAAAATTTACCAGGATTATTTGTTGAATCATTATCACTGATGCAATCACCACTACCGGGAACAACAGCATTTACGCTGAGGACAGGTACAACCGGAAATATATTCGAATTCGACATCGGATTTGACGGTGGGATCGAAGACGATGGTGGTGGGGAACTAGAGGATGATAGTTTAATGTTTTCATGATTAGTTAAATCAAATGCTTTTGGTCTCCCAGGTCTACCTCTAGTTCGACTACCTCTGTTTGTATTCATTGACTTTACAGAATTCGTGACATGATAATTTTGTAAATTATAATGAATTGAAGACTCTGATCTTGAATCTGATTTTATAAGTGAATTATTTGATATGATTCTATGGTCATTATTAATTATAGTCTCTGATGTAGATGATGTTGTTGAAAATGGTCTATCGCGTGTATGAGATCTCAGCTCTGAATTCAATTCTGATTGAAGGTTGACTAAACTTTCTTTGTTGGTGCTATTATTATCATTGTTATTATTATTATTACTTGTCAACAGGACAGACAAAGCATCTTTTATTCCATGGAATAACATATTTTTAATTTGTAATTTATCTTCGTGATTTTGATGTGTCGGTGATAGCTGACGAAATTCTTCCATTAATTGAAAACATTGAGGTAAATGTTCTGGTGAGACAAAGTCTACAGCCGCTTTGATACAACTATTTAAATTTCGTACCTATTATATAGAAATATACATAAATCAATGAAGAGTAAGTTAACGAATTAAAAATCGGTTGAATAAACAAACATGTGAGGATAATTTCTAAATAACAAACATTTATGCTTGTTGTGGTTTTCCATCTCAAAATGACCTTTTTGGAGTAACCATTGAGATTCAAGAAGCACTAGATGGTTGTCTCGTTCTAGTAATTAACTATTTAACAGTTCTCATCCAAGATCATATCGGGGATGGAGCTCATGACCTTGAAAACCTAAAATGACTGAGTACTGAAGAACACCTCAATACTTATGAGTTGAAAATCAAATGTTTCACATTTCTAGTTTCAGTCAATTCAAGATACAGCCCTACGATCATCCTAATAAGTTACTGATAACGACTGTTTCGCTCCTATTACAACTTCCAGATATAACTCGGATTTCACAGAATCTTCCTATTTATAAGTTTGAATAACAAAAACATCCAAGATAGTAGCAAAATACCATGAATTCATCCATTTCGTGAACTCTCCTCAGCTGCTCACAACTTTGAGAGTTCATTTAGAACTAAGTCACCAATAAACACAATGTGATACTATTGCCCGGTAGTTGGTTGAAATCGGAACTATGAACCACCTGAATGCTAACTCAATGGTGAAAGCGTTAAGCAATATCCATGAAGTCCGAAAATCATGGGTCCACAATTCTGAAGCGTCTACAAACTAGTGAAACAACATCATGCTTTTCTAGTCCCTCAGTGTTGCTAATCGAATGTTGTCAATCAAATTTCAACGTAACCACTAGCCTCAGTGACTTGAAATCATGTGCACCATTCTTCTTCAGATCTACCCACACAACTTTTAAAAATACACTACTTTTATAAGGACTAGTGATGCTCTCCAGTTGTGCAAATCAAGGAAGGTGAAGAATCCGCGTTCAAATTTTCAACCTACCACTACTACTTCAGGTTGAAAGTTTAATAGCATTGTCAATAAGCCATCGTTTCATGTTTAACAACTTGACAAAAAGTGAACGCTGTATATACCTTCAGAAAAATAATCACATCGATTCACTAAGTATTTAATAGTAATCTAAAAATTAGACAGTTTCTTCTTTTTTACCAACGTGTCTTTGATATAACCTCAACCTGGTGAAATATGCTTGTATCAATAATACTGATCCCTACAACTCAGCGAACTGATACCTTAACGGTTATCAATCCATATAGAATACCTCTGAAACTAAGCCGCAAATCAGAACAGGAGAAAAAGACACTCAATGTACTTTCAAAATACAAACCACAGAATCATGATGCACTATACATAAACAACAAGCCATGTAACTAAAACGTCCACGGTAAAAATCCTAATAAAATAGACCTACTAACTAATTGACAAAATCTTCGAAACAGAATAAGATATAATGAAAGCTAATAGGTCAAATGGAAGTGTTTAGAATTTTTAAAAGAAAATAAAAGTCTCACAAACTAAGTGTTTGGGAAAACACATGTTAAAGTAGTATATAAAGGTAAATCTGAATATATAAATACCATACATCCACCGCTGCTTAAAATATTTATAACTTAATAGCAATATCGAGATAATCCTCAGAGGATGCTCATATGCCAAAAGAGACTAATCAATTGCAGTTCTAAACATCAGTGGGAAAACAAATACATGTATGAATTGAAATTCACCCCATTTCACAAGCTAGTGGCTATCTGAACTCAGTAGCTAAATGGATACCACGATGACGTTAAAGCAAATCGTGATGGTTTCGAGCCCCGGAATGAAAACCAACTCACCCTAAGATGTAGGCACATCCAGCTAACGAGTCAAAAATAGGACGAAATGTTCATCCTGGATTCCACTGCTAGTGACTGTCTATCACTGCTTAAATAGTGATCTTGTTTTAACAAGGGTAAATGGGTATAAACTATAACATCACGCGGAATAGTAGAACTGAAATATACAGAGGGCACATTGCTTTTTTTTAAGAAAAAAATAGTACGACCTAACTTTTGAGTATGACAACAAAAAAAGGAAGAAGAAGAAGAAGAAGAAGGAGTTAAAATACTACCTGATGAGCAGCACCAGCTGGAATGAATACAGCATCACCATGAAATTGTACAATAGTACATGGTTGAATACCCGTACAATCATATAAACGATCTAATAATGATTGGTCCATGTAAAATAATTGATCGTGTATTGGATCACTGCCTGGTTCCACTGGTGTACCAGTTTCATTTTCACTTACTCTTGATAAAAATTCTCTTAAACCATTTGAATCTTCCGGTAGAAATATATGCCATAATGCTCCTGGGATATCTATAACAAATAAATTGGGAATATCCTTTTCATACAATCAAACCATGGAATAATAATAATAATATGGAACCTAGTGATGAAGCGCTAGTTAGAGGTAGTGATAGGTAAACTTCATCCATATCCGTTACAAAATAATAAGAATGTACATTGGTTTTCTGAGTATAGGAAATAATTGACGTCGGGAATACGTAAATCGTTGGACAATAATCCAAAGATAATGAACTCGCCATCATAACTTAAGACTTCACGTTTCATCTTTATTTGGATCATGACGGCACATTAGCGAAGAGTTTCATACAGAATAATCAAACATATTCCTAGTGTACCTTGATTTTCAATTAATGTCAAGAAAGAAAATGAGCTAACAAAACTGACTAATTTGGATAATGCAATAAGAAGACGGAGATTATTGGAATTATGTCATATATTAGCACAATATATTTCGAAACATTTCGTACTGGATAATAAATCAGTAATACCAGGATAGGTCTTAACAAGTATATATGTGGTCAGATTGTTCAAATTTTATTACGCTAATATATCATATAGTTTTGATGATTTTCGTCTTCTTATTACACAAAACAAACTAATCAGAGTAACTAATTGTTTTAAATGACTAACTAACGGTAAAATGAAGTCCAAGCGAAAATTTACACTGACTGATTATTGATCACTGTAATGTTTACCGTAATCTTCGATTGTTGATCAAATTCTACCAATCATTAGTTTATGTATCAACCCTACAGAAATTCAATGGATTACCGAAAACCCACCTACGTGATAACAACTATGACTATGATACTGAGGTTAAACGGATTCAAATCTAACGAAGAGTATAAGTCCCCCGAAGATTTCAGGTACACACTTGGTAGCCAATGTCAACTACTAAACCGTCAAGATCCAAGGATTCTCTGCTTTTATCCACCCAATATTAAATATAGGTTTTCATAATACTAAACATTGACACAGAAACGACCACTACTGACTTTGAAAAAAGTGCTTAGCTATCTAGTAGATTACATTCATAATTTTTTATAATAAAAGTAATTTGATCAATAAGAAACGTTCATAAATAAATAATGGCATAACCTACCTTCGGAGTCAGTCTCATGAGTAGTAGAACTAAAAGTAGTATTGTTAGTGTTATTATTATTATTATTCTCATTAGTATGTACATCAGTTTGATGTGATTTAATTTTATTCAACCAATTTAAAACTCTTTCCAGATAATTATCATCAATATGTGCACTTGTTAATGTGTTCACAATTGATTCAGCATTAGTTAACATTTCGTTCAATGAATCTGTCGGTTGTCCCACATACAACATAACATTTACAGCATCAGCTATATCTACATGCAAATTTGTTGTACTAATCTGCAAACAAAAATAAAAGAAATGAAAAAAATGTAGGTAAAATCAGTTGAAATGTGATGTTGGTCTAGAACTCAAAACAATTATCTGTTGCCAACATCCAAGTCAGAATTTTACGATACAAACGTCAAGACAATTTCACTGTATAGAGCTGAAATATGAAGAACTACGACAACCATTATCAAAAATGGTACAAGTATTTATAAACACTTCTCTATACGAGAGGAAATTAGGAAAAGATGCTGAAGGTATATGGAGCACATATTGAGGAGACCATCAAACTGAATAACAAAAAAGCCCTAAATTGGGATGTCCAATGAAAAAGGGAAAGAGAAGAGCCGAAGAACATATCACTCTGGGAATTCAAGGGAGAAATCAAAAGATTGAATAGCATTCGGAAACAACATAAAAGGAGAATCCAGGACAGAGAACGTTGGAGACACCCGGTCGGGGACTTATGCTCCATCTGGGGTAGCTGGCATAATTAAGTTAGCATATGCTGGAAGGTAAAGGCGGAGGGAGTTATGAGATTAAGCGAAAAAATCTGAATACAAGCTCTAATTTATATACCATCGTAAGTTAAAGTTAAAAAAGATTTTCGGGCTGCTACTGATGATATTGTCTAGGAAGAGAATAAATATATGGTGCAGTTAAACTGTGCGGCCAAGCTATAGGCAAAATAACACGAGTATTGTCTGTATTGCAATCGTCGAACAGATTATATCACTAGTACAAAAGATTTATAAGTGAATTTGTTACATCCTAGTGAAGACCTAAGTAGAGGTAACTCCCAGGACCTATTAATGGACTATTATTCTATGTGTATTCTTGTTGTTTAACTATTGAGTAATTAGATTTAGATAAATTAGATATAGTATATCTCTATTCATCTTATTATAAGCTTCATTTTGACCTATGAATTATTACTGTACGATTTAATGTCCCTAAATTATATTCAGTTTATTGATTATTGTATCCCACGTTCACAGCCACATTTGGCTTGATCTTGTACAAGTATTGTTTTCTATTTTATGGGTAATGCGGTCTGTCTGTCTAGTATATAAACAGAGTATGCTTGAAATAAATGATTTGCATGACAGAAGCTGTAATTGGTGTTCTGGACTCAATTTGAAAGGCTAGGTGGACAAGGGGCCAATAAGGACGTTAAACTGCTCATACCAGTTGAACGTCATTGATTTGGCACAGTGTTAAGACTAGACAAGTCGTATTCCGACTGGTGTATAACTCACGTGATAAAAGCTGGACATAAGACCACAACAAATTGGCATACGTCCTATTTTTTATAAAGTCAGAATAAGTTAAATTAGTTAGATTGTTAGTTAAATTTGTCAAAGAACCTATAGTTAGAAAACCCAATACAATAGTTTATCCTTGTCTAATTTTAGTAGGAAACCGAACTAGCAACTAGTACTGATGATTATGTGAATGGGCTAACATTTGAACTCAATAGTTCATTAGATAATATATTTTCATTTGAAGTGAAAGTTTCTGGATTCAACTCCAGGCACATCCAAATGATAATTACTAAATAGAACGAGATGTGCGTTATCCATTATTTAGTTTTAATAAAAGACATAAATATCTTTTAATAATATACAATCTATAAATAAACATCAAGGTAAAATACTCTTTTTTGTCTATTTTCTGGTTTGTTTTGTACAGATTAACTAATATTCCATCATTACAAGAAAATAATAATATCCGTCATTCCAAAAAAAAAAACATCCTTTCAACGATACTGTATCAAATCAAAATTTAAATATGACGATCAATACAACAGCAACAAAAAAGATGTGAACAAAGCCAACAGGTATTTTAAATATCCTCATCATCATCATCATCATCATCATCATCATCATCATCATCATCATCATCATCATCATCATCATCATCATCATCATCATCATCATCATCATCATCATCATCATCATCATCATCATCATCATCATCATCATCATCATCATCATCATCATCATCATCATCATCATCATCATCATCATCATCATCATCATCATCATCATCATCATCATCATCATCATCATCATCATCATCATCATCATCATCATCATCATCATCATCATCATCATCATCATCATCATCATCATCATCATCATCATCATCATCATCATCATCATCATCATCATCATCATCATCATCATCATCATCATCATCATCATCATCATCATCATCATCATCATCATCATCATCATCATCATCATCATCATCATCATCATCATCATCATCATCATCATCATCATCATCATCATCATCATCATCATCATCATCATCATCATCATCATCATCATCATCATCATCATCATCATCATCATCATCATCATCATCATCATCATCATCATCATCATCATCATCATCATCATCATCATCATCATCATCATCATCATCATCATCATCATCATCATCATCATCATCATCATCATCATCATCATCATCATCATCATCATCATCATCATCATCGTCATCATCTATCGATCTATTCATAACAAAATCGGCCAATTTGGAATTAATCACGCATACATATAATTCACACATCAATAAACATACGTATGCATACATACATACACATATGCAGGGTAATATTTAATGGAGCAGACATAAACAAAGAGATTAAATATACATGTATAATGAGAATTAGATTGAAGTCCACATTGTGATAGACAGATACTATTTTGTAGCATACAAGACAAAAAAAACAGATTATGTAACGTTTAATAAATTGATTAATTATTACATAGTGCACAAGTAACAGTGAGAAATTAATTTAAACAAAGATTTGGACATTTGGCATTTGTTTCATTTCGATCTTTCAACATGGAGGAACACTGAGTGTATGAACTTGATTTTGTTAGTTGAATGAGATGGAAAAAAATGATTGATAGACATCTGTTTTAAATTACTCAATGGGGACAAAGGAAACTAGAGAAATTATTAATAACTAATTCCTTCTATTTGAAAGTCAACACATAATTGACGTTCGCCTTGTATATACACACAAATACACATACATACAAATAGTTATAAAATCGATGTATGACTGATCCGAATTCATAGTTGTCATAAGACAAACAAAAAATATCTTTCCTTTGGTAGATTTCATCACAGGGTGATTCTAGTGGGGGTTGGAAAACTATGGAGCACTAGACAAATGTCTTGTCCTAGTATGAGATACCTTAAGCAATGCGCTACAAAAAAACCAACCAGTAGTCAAACTAATAACCTTCTCAGTTCGTGGCGAACGCTTAATCATTGGGATTACGGCGTCGGCATTCACTGGTACACTTTTGTCTTAAATGTTTATACTTAAATAAAATAAGGATAACAACTGACGCTGAATAATGTGATATCGTTCCTTCTCTATAAAAGTTAATGAAATGTTTATGTTAAAGCATAAAGATTGTATACTTACAGAGCATGAACCGACTGTTCCATAAGCCACATATAATTTTGGACCTAGATCAGGACATACGAAAAATGATGATAATCTAGCGGCTAAATTCAACTGTCCATCACGTTGTGTATAATTTGGCATTGGCAGATTTAACATGAGATCATTGAAACGTTTTGGTTGCAATTCAGCAAAATCATCTGTAGTTGGCCAATCTTTCAGTTTTAAACAAAGTGGACGACCATCTTTACTAGTGATTCGACCTATAATTTTCAATAAAAACAAGAAAAAACGGATATGCTGTAGCGTTACTTCAAGACATCTTTTACAAAGTGCAAACAAAGCTAAAAACAGTCATTATTCCATTGTAAACAACAATAAGTGATATTTATTTTAACAAAATAGTTATTGTCCAATAGCTTACTGGTTACATTATTCAACCATATGGAAACTGAACGATCTCCCCGAACCGTCCTACATTGATAATAATCATTTGCTCACTACTGGATAATTTAGAGATATAATTCAAAGAGTTCTAGGAAGAAGCCTTGACCAGTGGAGTTTAACCATGTTGAACAGTTATTCACCACAGGCAATGGGTGAGTGTTGTACAATATCGTGAGTCGATTAAAGTTAGTCATTAGCGCCATCTGAAGCAAACTCAGTGGTCTAGAAGTTAAGTGTAATCCTGCTCTGTAGCACGTTGTCCAGTAGTTTAGGCAATTGCCATCATACCATTAGGTATGGAGTAGAATGTATGTGAATCAGTGCTGAATAAACAGATATGTACACTAACTTTATTATTATTATCTCTTTTCCCAACTTTCTCTTACCTAATTAATTATTCTATCAATTACTTACCATAACGATGCTATGAAACATAATTTGTTTAAATACCGTAGACTACAAACTTGTTGTAATATCATTTATCGTGGATGCGCACTGCTGGGGAGTACCACAATAGTACGAAACAGCCGTCCAGTGCTTCCAGGTTCTCCATGGTGGTCTAGCTTCAATTGGCTGATGATCTCAACTACCGAAATTATTAATTTTTGTTAGATTTTAACATGTTAGTTCAGAGCATTTTGATTTCTGAAAAGACAATCTTAAGACAATTCACATTTACATAAGTGTTAGTTTAAAGACCAAAAAAGACACATTTTACAATCACGTTTACTTCTCTATATGCACAAACAGATAAATAAACAAATACAAATGGGTCAGCGGATGAGCATATGCGCACAAACATTAAAAATTCCATTTATGTATATTTTTCTCACCTCTGTAGATAAACATATACATTATGCATTTATATAACTCATCTTTGATTAAAAACACTTATCATGAAAAGAAAAAAAGGAACTGGCAACGACCATTATTTATCTACCCATTGGGTTCTTTTTTAGATAATTAAAATTTGATTATCAAATATAAATTGTAGAATAAATTACTCCCTACTTTGCTTTCGTTGTTGGGGTGAGGGGGAAAGAAAATCGAACGAAACAAATAAAATATAACCAGCAAAATAAAAGAATAAAATTTCATTTTCATTATGTGCATAGTCTAATATTTGGACAAAAAAAGTGTATATTCAGAACAGAAAATTGATGTGACATAGTAAGCAGTAGAGTGTCAACTTGATGAAATCAATAAAGTTGTCTTCTTTTAGCCTCGGAGCAAAACGTTTCACATGATCATTTGTTTTTTTTCTATTTATCTCTTTCCAAACATTTCACTATTATTTATTCATACATTTAAAGAAATTTCTAACGTGAATAATAAAAGAGAGGGGAATTCATGACAACGTAGATTCTAATAATCACAAACAAAATACAACAGAACAGCTTCAATTGAAAACATGTTTATGAGACAACAAAAATAGAGTAACGTTGAATAAAGTCTGGCAGTGGTATCGTCGCATTTAGTACTCGTCAGCTGGATGCATCTGCATCCATCTTAGTGTTGATGTTTACACTGACCTTTTGCTTCAAATATCTAACACTTTATCCAGTGAGTAATTGAGTTTCGGTAGCTACTAACTTTTTTATATCATTTTAACTAGTTCGTAAGTCATTGATAAAATCAGTGATTAATGCATTTTCATCTATAGCCTTGTCTTCTCCCTTACACTGAGCCACACAGGTTCTTGTTCAGTTATAAAATGGCAACAGTACCACTGTTTCATTTGAATACAATACGGATCACACAATACAACTTTCTAATAATTGAAATAGTCCATCACAATGGAACAAAGTAGATTATTGCACCAGTTTGTAAAGGTATTTATTGACTTACAATAACAACAACCTAATAATCAGCTAATCATTTCAATTCTATTCCAAATGAGTGAATTCATTCACATTAATTAATAAACAAATAGTAGGAGAGAGAGAGAAAGAGAAAAACAAACTAACAAATACACACAAATCATGAATTGATAAAACAAAAGCATAATCACGTCTATTGATTAATTAGTGAATGTTTATAGAATTCTGGAGAGTTATTAAGTTGAAGAAAATTATTAAAAACTAACTTATTAATCAGTAGTTATGTTATGTACAAATCTATTTCTTCAGTTATGGGCTACACTTTATTTTTACAGCGGATACTAATGTTCCTATCCATGAATGGTTGAAGTGAAGTAGGAAGAAGTGTGGGGGGATTGATTCTCAAGTTGTAAATTTCACTGAATTTTCCTGTTTTTCATTTGGGATTCTGTGCTGTGCCACAGTGACATGTTCCTGTTAGATAGTTGCGAATAAATCCAGATGCTCGCAATAATTTTTCATGTACTTACTAACTAGAGAGAAATAGCAACTTTCCTTGGAAAATTCTAACAACATGACCACATGGAGACGAGAGGATAATGAGAAAGCGCTTATTCCAACGACGACGGTGCATGAGAAATCAAACCATTTCATAAACTGACTAAATTTTTAAAAGAAATACTGGATCCCAAATGAAAAATTAATTTAATAGCATCTTGGTCAATGCTAGTTCTAATTTCAGTGTAAAGTTAAGAGCTAGTGAGTATACATTGCTTTTTAATAGTATACACACCATCAAAAAATAGCTAGCTATTCATTCGTTATTGGTTTTCAGTTTTTCTCTACAGAATTGATATCAGATTGAATTAAAAATTACCAATGAAAGGAAAGAAGTGAATGTTTTCCCACTTGACAGCTGAACGTATGATCCGGCAAAAAAGGAATCTGTAATCCTAGTTATTTTGCTTAATTAATGAATAGGCTGATGAATATATATATAGCTTGAAGGTAATCATTTCAAACTTGTTCAGAATAAAAGCGTGTGTATGCATTTGTTTATATATCTACCAGAATGGAAAAAACCCAAAAGTATATAAACCTCAAACAAAAAATACAAAAAAGAAGTGGTCATAAAGAAATTTTGTGTAAACTGATAATGATATTTCTCATTTGCCAAGTACATGTCATCCTATTTCATTTTCCGCTACTCCTTATATGTGAGTGTGAGTGATACTTTCCGTATGTTCAAAGTGAATTAGGAGGAGCTGGACTCTAAAATGAAACCTCTTGGCTGATAATTGAATGTCTTAACCCTTGAGCCATTCCACCACTGTATTGACAGTCAGTACTGTTTACATCTGTTGCGTCAAAACTGAAGACTCGTAAGTACAGTACACCTACAATCTAAACATAAGAACCTTAAATTAATATATCCTCTACTCTTTAAAAATAAATCCATCTCAATAATTTTCGCAACATATGTGTTAACAGGATTTTTATTCTCCATATTGCATTTTCTGTGTGTTTATCTATCATCTATCAATCTAACAATCTATCTTCTCTCAATGATCTGTTATCATTTAACCATGTATCTATGTCTATCTGTCTGTTTTCTCCTCATACATAACAACATACTGGAGAATAAAAGAAAACAAATCTTTATTGATTAATTCTCTTCTTTTAGAAATAAAAGAAACAACATCATTATAAATGGAATTTTATGTTAAAGATTGGATCGATTGAATATGATTGTATCGTGAAATAGAAGAGATAGTTAGTTACTTAGTTAATTGGTATTTCTACACTTTTTTTAATTCAATGTTCAATATAAACTTATAGAGATAGACAAATAAACAAAGTCAATGAACAGTATAGAAGGCTAAGAAAAGAAACAATTAACACCTTATTCCTGTTGACTTTATTCAGTATTGATAAGTGAAATGTAGTCATATATATCAGGGCTGGATAGCTCAGTGGTAAAGTGACGAACTTCAAAGCTTGTTAACGTCAATTCGAATGCAACAGGAAGCATCAGTGTTCTCAAAATTCCACGTACACCCCAATAACGATTACTACTCGGCAAAAAACCTAGGTTAAGAAGGGTTTCTTATCGACTACCGTCAACTATGCAACATCTCAACAATTGTACACGGTGTTCTGTCACTTGGACTAGTAAACACATTACAAATTGATCGATAGAATTTGATCAGTAACATTAGAGGACTAAACAAACATGATATTTGGCATTATTCAATGATCAATTAAAATGCCTAAAATAACTACATACATGAAAAGCAGTTAGAAAGATTCATCGATATGGACATAGTTTTCATTCATTGATCTTTAGACCACCATACATAAATAAATTATTATTCTTGTTTTACATTAAAACATTTTTTAACAATACAAACTCACGCACATAAACAAACAAACAAACACTTACGTTCACGTTTTTCGAAACCATCCCAAAATGATTTTAACGTATAACGTGATATTTCAGCACCCGTGGCACAATCAATTAACGTAGTTTTCATATCACCGAAATCATTTGAAAAACTTTGTGGAGTCCATAATTCTCGGGTAAACTTACGTTGACATCCAGATATAACAAGCGGATGATTGCGTCTCCATTCAGACTAGAAGATAGAGGTTTGAGAAGACGGAAAAGGAAAGGATACAAAAAAAACAGAAAATATTTTAGCCACACATGTAAACACAATATAAGGCAAGTAATGTATAATCCATATCAAGTAAAATGTACTAAAAAAGGTATGAAAGATAAAACGAAGAAATACATCAACGAGGAGCAACTTTCCACACACAAAAAAATTGTCAAATTGACATCAAAGCTTGAAAATACAGTTTTTTTTAATGTCACACAACAGACTTTACATATTGTTGCTTGAACGTTACCTATACAAGTGAGGGAGGGGCGACAGTAGTCAAATAGATAAAAATGTCGCTTATGAACAACGACCGAGAATGAATATTACATTCGTCGTTCAAACATTTGAAATTGACGTATACGTGTGTGTGTTTGTATATATTTGTGTAAGTGATATTTCAGTTGTTTACCTTTACATTGAAAAAAAACGGACAAAGCTTCAAACTATCAACACTATTCATTTGATCAATGATTAGTTTCTAGTTCTTAAAATGAAATTGTATTTTATACCATTTTGTGATAAGACAAGTTAACTATTTAGTGGTATTGTGTTTTATAAGGCTGATAATTTAATTGTGGACCTTACATTGCATCTCTGGACGAAAATCATTAACCTATACAACTACATGAGATAGGCACTGATGGTGTTGTCCAGAATGATAATGAAAGCTTACCAATTAAACAATGTACTTCAAAGAACAAAGTACTACCAAAAGCATCCATTTTACCTGCAAATTTTCTAAATTATTTCAAAATATTTTGATTAGCAAATAAATTAATAGACTAACTATTTTTTAAAACATTTTAGAAGATATAATCGACCTATTTTGAAAATTAAACCAATATTACACAATATAAACATATTTCATAATAACTCAATTCCCTTAATGATACATTATAAATTTGAACTACCAGCTACGTAGAGAAAGTAAATGGTAAATATAATTAATACAGGTCTCGAATTTTCGGAAAATAATCTAGATGAATATCAATAAACGATATTACACAATGAATAGAATAATAACGTATAGTAACATGATTTCTAGTCTATTACTCTACACAATTGCTAAAGTATGACATCAATCTGAGTCATTCACTATCAATCTTAATGAAAGCAACAAACTCAAAGTTCAAGGGTGAAGTTGTGCCCCTGACTGTACTAGATTGTGACGATAAAGGAACTCTTCACCTATGCAACCATCAGTTATAGTGAAACTGCTTTCTCACATCAGAAGAAAGAAGATGGAAAAAGTCGGTCCTAGAACACCTCATCGTACCCCACGGACTTTCTCCGCCGATGACAAGCCTTTGAAATTACGGAGATAACACACCAAAAACTATTCACATAAAGACTGCGTGTGATAGGCCTCAAGCACTTACCTCTTGGGTTCAGTCGTTACGCCACAAGATCATTAAGATCACTCTTCTTTTTAGATCATTCAAAGATTATTGTTCGACTATATGGGCTACGACGAAGCAACAACCGCCCTAATACTCAAGCAGTACTCTACATATGGGCTAAGGAGTTAGAGAGAACTGATCTTCTTGGTTAGAATGTACGTGGAGACACTAAGATTAGAACCGTGATATGACTCCAAATCGTTGCCAGTGATTCATATATTTTCAGTTCATTTTATTAATCTTCCTGTGTTTAAAATTTAACAATTATTTCATGCTCTTTATTTTGCGATTGTATCCTCTCCATGCTATTGACATCACGAACCGACTTCAGTTACATAACCAGTGAAAATCATAAATCACTGAACAGATGTTTCGCTCTACCATGAGAATTCTCAGGAGTGTATATCCATGACTTTATCGAGGACCGATACAAGGACCTTCGGATCTCGTGGCAAGGGCTTCAATTTCAGATCAGTGAGCTACCAACCAATTATTTACTTGTCTGACTTTTAACAATCTATCTTCTTTCGTTTCCACTAAAATTCATTATAGGTTACCTTTTAATTTTTTGCACTCCATCTCACCGAATTCCTTCTCTTGTTTTCCTGAAAAGGGATTTTTCGGCTAATTGAGCCAAAAAAGACACTTTTGGTAGAATTTACATTCTATCTATAACTACCTAAACAAACATTTTTCAAACTTCTACAGACAATTACATTAAATAATTATTGTCAAAGATTATTAAGATTATCAGCAAAGGGGTCGTGGAGACTGTTGAGCTTTTATTGAGATCATGAACCGATCAATGTCGGATCACCACTAAAAACATCGAAACATTGAACTGCGATTTTGCCCTAGTATGGGACTACTCAGCAGTGCACATCTATGGTCACGCTGCTTCAACCAATCCACGATATTACGCGAAGTTAGATATTAACACCGTCGGATGCCGACACAGGGGTCTAGAGATCAAGTGTTTGCGTACAAGACCGAAGGTCGTGAGTTTGAGCCATGTATGTGAGATTATGAATGTGCCCTGCTGGAGAGCCCAATAATAGGACGAAACGGCCATTCAGTGCTTCCAGTTTTTCAATGGTAGTCTTATACTGATCGGTTTGTGGTCTCAATAAAAATAATCAAAATATTAACTCGACCAAATAAAGAACAGACAGGATTACCTCACTTATGGTCATCTCATGCACAGATCAAAAACGAGCCCGTTTCCTCCCTATTTCTTAACGTGTTTATTTCAAAAAACAACTAATCTCATTGATTTATACTTAAGTTTCCGTATATATTTATCCATACGTGCATATAAGGTATATTACACATCAAATGGACACAGTTGATTACACACAAAATTTGTTGTTAATTTAACCAAAACATTGTATGTTGATCAGTTTGATTTAATTAAAGATATGCGTGAATGAGAAAATGAAAGGATGCAAAGTGAAATTTTCATCATGGTATGTATAATGTTGTTTGTTTTTTTTCGAAAAGAAAAAAAAGTAATATAGGCAAACGTTTCACTGTGTTTTTATTTGTCATAAACTACAACAACAATCGTAATAAAATCGATAAAGTATTTTAATATTTTACATGATATAGCATAAAAAAGGTTCCTTTTCTTTTTACGTTCATAGTAAATACTTATAGTAGTAGATATTTATAGTCATACCGATAATTTATTGAGTGGTAGCAAGCCGGTCCTGTTAGATGGATTGGACGCTTATGTCTAACATAAGCAAAGTACAGTCTGGCACATTTATGAGTATTGGGTTTAAATTGCCACACACCATTAGCATAGTGAATTATCAAGACAAATGTCAGAGTATTACAAATAGTAAGAGTAATAATGGTAATAGAAAAGATTAACCATAGACAGTATACTCATGAAGAAAAAAAAGTAATTGCTGAATAAAAAGTATAAAACGAAGTGAATGCATCTGCGCCACTGTGAACCATGTCATCTAATATCTGTAACTATTGATTACGATAATAGCTCGAATCCCAACCAGATATACTAAACCCAACTATATGGTTCAAGCCAATAATCGATGACTTCGTAAGCTAAACCCATGTCTTGGTTTGGCCACAGTTAGCTATTTCACAACATGCACTGGCAAACACCGCACAACGAGGTAAACGATAGTTGGGTTAAGCACATTGAATACATGGCGTGTTTGTCTAATCCTTAACTCGGATTGATATCTAATGATCAAGTTACAATCTGATCACCGATGTGAATGACTGCCACTGAACTAATTGAGTCATTATTCTCAGTTGAAATCTATTATTTTTCATGATAAGCCAATAGAGACTGAAGGACACACTTGAAAGAATATCCAAAAATGTGTACTTGTAGATTATCGTCACCTCGCTTAATCCAAGATTCTATAGTCTATAGTCGCAAGTCCCATACAACAAGACGTCTCAAAACAATCCGAAACCGATGTTCAGTACCCTCTAAGTGATAAAAAGCTCCCTTTGGAGAAAAGATATCGATTTTTTAACAAATTCCTACAAAAGTTCATAAGTATCGCCAAGTCCTATTGTCTTAAACATCATCATCATAATCGTCACCACGAGAAGAAGCAACTAGAGAAATTGACAGCAGTCGTAAGAAGCTGATTTACGTTTGAAATCATTATCATTATTATCACCACTATTTACTATTATTTCACCTCAGAAACTTTACATTCTTCCAGCTTAAATAAATTAAAGCAGCAACACTTGGTGAAGAAACATATTGATAATGTTGAATCAGTTTACTGATTAATTGATCGATATCCAAGGTATATTATCGTACTAAATTGGTGAGAAAATATTAACAGTTACGTCGTGTTTGTATACACATGTATATATCTATCATGTAAAGATTCATTTATAACACTGTTGATAATAAACATAATAACTACATCAGCTGATTTGAAATGATTATTTGCCAAATTATATGTATGTATGCATCCATGAATGTTTATGTATGTGTATATGTGTGTTTATTATTTATTTTGTTCATCTACATATTTTCCGTGTACAGATGTTTGTGTATAATAATATAAGGTAAAATTAAACAAGATATATTTTTACTACAAAGAATTAGTATAATAGGTTACAGACACTCCATGCATTTATTAAGGTGACAATAAATCATGCAGAAATTATTCTGATTAACACCAAGGCACATTCGATTTCAATAGAACAAGTTGAATTTGAAATAATAGTCAACGGATTAAAGGTTTTGTTTATACAAATCTGTTGGCTAGTTAGCGTAACTCAATGCGGGCTAAATATTAAGTACATAAGTATTCTGCTTTGATATCTGCTAAGATTTATACAGTTTGAAGATAGTTTTCTCGTCAGCATGTTGGAGAAACATCGAGAGAGAAAGAGAGGGTGAAAACGTACGCACGAGGAAATAGAATTGTTTCATTTTAGCACATAAACTATATGCTTGAATTACTACATTTGGTATTTGACTACAGTATAATCAATGTAACATAAGTTAAAAAGGTCTGCTTTAGGAGTCGTTCAATTGTTTGTATTTCGTAAGTTGGTTTCAGTTTACTAATACTTTCTATCATAATCACATTATTTACCGACTAGTCCTTTTTTGGTGAAAATCTCATAACATAATCACCAGACAATACATACTTGGAAACTAGACAGATGACAATTTCAAAAATAGGTTTACGTCCAATTTTAGTCTTAAATTAGATGGAACTAGGATATAGAACATAAAGATTAAAATGGGGAGATTTGCAGGGATAATGGAATTTCCATAGTTTAAACTGAGAATAAAACATAGCTAAACCATCATTGAAAACCTGGAAGCAATGGGAAGCTGTTTCACCCTAGTATGGGACTCCTCAGTAGTGCACATTCACGACCAAGCATCCAGAAACTGGACTGAAGATCGTCGACCTCACGCTCGAACATTTAACCTCTGGACCACTGAGCACGGGTCCAATCGTTCTCAGTCTAACTTCAATCAATTTGCAATGCTAGGCAACCCTAATTCGTTCCCTACGGTGAATAACTGTCTCACACCTGATATGGTTGAATTACATTCGTCACGGCTTCTGGCTAAAACTTCAAGAGTTTTATATTAAAGCTAGTCACCAGTGAACACATGATCATTATTAATATATAGGGATTTCTGGAGATTCAAAAATTCTCATAGATTAAACCACGAATTGATCTTAGATAGATGACGGTTGTGCAATATTTTATGTTGATTAAAGTCACTTATTAACTCCGTCGGATGGTAACTAAATGGTTGAGAGTTTGCGCATAAAACCAGAGATATTCGATTCAGCTCCCGGATGTGAAGTCATGGATGTGAACTACTAAGAAATATCACACGAAGATGAAACAACTTTCCAGGTAGTCTAGCTATGATCAGTTCATGATTTAAACGATAAAATACTTTTATCATACAATAACTTATCCAATAAATATGTACATACATTGTGTGATTAAAATCGTCTGTAAGGCCACTATTAACTTAGATACTTTTAAGTTACAAAAGAACCAACCGCTAAGCAAACATTTGATCATATCTTTTTCAGTAAACCACATTGTAATTTAGCAGTTGCAATGCAGCTTAATTAAAACAAAAAAATTATTCGAATGCTTTTTCCCTCGCAATCAACTGAACATCGAAAAATGAATACAGCTATTAATCACTGTTAATATATATGCGCGAAAACAATACTCACTTGAAATGCTAATAAATTTCCAACGGAATCAGGACAATGTAAACGTAAGAAAACAGGATTGTGATGTTGATGATGACGATTGATTATTTCTGAAGGTTTGTAAATTTTCAAATTTGATTCCCTGTGAAAATCAAATCCATGATTATCATTATGCTTAGTTTTATGTTTAGCAATGTTAGCTGCATCATTTATTTTCTGATAACAGGATCTTTGATTAATATGCCTTCGTGTGCAATGAATCCAACTATGAGATGGAAAATCCATCATTATCATCTTACGTTCATTATTATTGTCATTGTCTGATAAACGGACCCCATTATCTGTTGTTATAAAAGAAGGGTTATTATGGGAAGCATTAAATTCCGTTTCCACAACAACATTATCTATAATACTGTTACTACTGTCATTACTATTACCAGTAGTAAGTGATCCAGTGTTCCCCATATCAGCTTTCAAAGCAATATCAGCTAGTAAATCAAGAGAATTTCGATCTAAACATTCACGATTATTCAATGATTTCATTGGTTTCATGAATAATAATGTATCATTTGATAAATCCGTTGAGTCATTACCCACTGTTGAAGAAGAAGGAGAGCAATTACAGCCTAAATTAATTTTATAATAGTTTGCTATGCGATGCAATCGATGAATCAATCGACCAATAATACCAGACGGTAACAGAGAAGTTAATAGCAGCTTATTCGGATCATGATGTTGACGTGTTGTAGTACACGATGCCCAACCATATGGGCAACCACGACCTTGAAAAATTGTTGTAGCAAAAGGGAAACGACACCAGTATAATAATAATAATAACAGTGTGAATAATATGAATAATAATGAGTTCATCATATTAGAGTACATTTTAGTGGGGATTTTATTAACATTTAGTATTTGGCTACTACTGAGATCCAGGACAAGGGTTTCATCCCATCCGGGGCTCGTCAAGTGCATGTGCTACATCTCAGTGTAGGTGTCCGCATGTAGACTATTGATGTAATGAGGTACTTCACACATGGCTAAAGAGACTTATTAGTCGCGGTTCTAAATACTAACACCAAGAAATTACAAACCCTTATTAATAGTTTGCAATGACTGTTGGATTATCCAGTTTATATCACTATCTGATTGTAGCTAGTTAGCCATTGAATGCTGGGAAGCACTAAACAGTTGTTTCGTCCTTGCATAAGACTCCTAAGTAATGCACGTCCACAAGCACATAGGAGGTAAAACCCAGGACATTCAGGCCTTACAAATAGCGCTTGACCTTCAGATCACTGGGTGACATCTAAAGGCTTGAACGTATAGCTTTAGTCAACCCATGATACTCTGATACCACGGATATGCATTGTTTAGAAGTCATATACAGTTGCTCAGTGCTTCTCGGTTTCCAGTGATTATCTATCTAGTCAATCCGCAATGTTAGCTGAAAGATTGACTACATAATCATGTATGAGTGTTTGAATAAATTTAAATGGTAAGAAAATACATCTGATTCTATGGGTCAAAATTATTTAGCTACATATCAGATGTTGACAATTTAAGCAAATAAAACTACACTAATGGAAGTTGTGTAAGACAGTTAGTTTATAAAGTTCCTGAAATATACTAAACAAATTAAGTGACTAAAGAAGACAACATGGATCACTAAGTCGCAACTCAGTGGTCTGAAAGTAACCCACTCAAGAAGGATTCGTGGAGGTTCGATTTAAGTCACTTGTTGGTTCATGGGTGCCCATTGTTGAGGACAAAACAAATGTACAGTACGGATTGTTAATTTTAACTAGTACACCATCTAGTTTCCATCAGTGAATAAAAACCATCTACAGCTTACTCAATTAAATCGGCTGCCTCATGAAACACAACCATATTCACATAACTTTGTAAGGGATCGAACTGAGAAACTTCAAGTGTTTCGGAGATCACACTATTTATAAAATTACTAAGTTGCCATCTAACAGTCTACATTCCCAAAGGAAATCAATCCGTTTAATCAGTGATTTACCTCTACGTCAAATAAACAACTTTTTATTTAATCAGGTATCATGATAAAAGTTAGGATCATGAGAAAAAAAAGTGGCAAAGTGATAACATTGTTAAAAAAAGTTGTCTTACAAACCTCTTATGTATTTTAGTTTGCCTTTTTTTTCCACTGCACCGTTTTCATTGAATTTCACATGATCACGTGTATCCAAATTGCTGCCACCTACAGAGTTGGACGATTTCGATTCATTCAAACAATCTGTACAAACTGAATAACCACATTTACCACAAACCCAGTGTGTATTGAACATTGTTGTTTCACAGACATCACACATTTCACGTACACCTTTTACTGGTCTTTTCCATGCAACTGAATTAATAATGCCATCATTTTTGTTATTCGATTCCATCGTATGACCACTAATTCTATTTTTACCAGTTAATGAGTTGATCTTTTCATTTTGACTTTGATAAGCATGATTATTATTCAAACTTGTTAATTCTTGATGGAGAAGACGACAGAATAAGCCACCAGCACATTCCAAAAGATATTTAGCAGCACCTGTGCTTAAAAATGGTGAAACTGTAAAGGAATATGATAAAAAAGATCACTTGTCAGTGTTGAGGGAAAAAGTCATCAATTCATTGTTTTTTATAGTGTTCTGTACTTTAACCTGGAACCCAACAGTAGCTACTACCTCGAGGTGGTCAGGTTAGAGTACCGTAATAATTCATTCGATCTATATTGCCTGTGGCATTCGTCCCCTTGGATCTTACTATACCAGATAGATTGGTTGAAGATGGATAAAACTAAACCTGCAATCTGAGGGAGAACTAGTACTTCCTACCGTACTAAACTATGACGACAGCAGTGTTTTCCTTAGACAAACACAATTTACAGTCATGTTGCCTTCTCACGACAGAAGGATAAGGAGTAAAAAAGGTCAGCCGTAGAATTGGATTGGCCTATGGATTTCGAACAATAGCGATAAGCCTTTAAAAAATCCAGAGTTAGCACATCTAAAATTACTCACAAAAAGGTCATGTGTGATCACCCACAAGCAGTTGTCCCTTCGGATGCTTCAATCACGCTTATAGGTCGTCGAAACCACTTCTAAAAAAGTTTTCTCTCAAGGTCTCACGACAAGTAACATCCTACTATGGTGTGGACAACAGGGAAAACAACCACATTCACAACTCCAATAGCACTGTGAAATTGGATAGTCTAGTAAATCTAAAACATGGAGTTAATTTCAATATTTTCACAGTTGCAAAGTAATTGCTCTAGACGATTGAGGACCAGTCCCACCCTTATCTATCTATTTACCATTCAAGTTCAGTAATTAATATTATATGTAATATTTTCACAGAAATCGATCAAATCTATTACATAACAATTGTGTACGGAACAATTACAAGTTGATAATAGTTTACAACAAATATAACTCAATGATCAAGTATCATGTTTATACTTTCGACTTGTGATTTGGATCAACTTTGTAAATAACAAATAATAATTGGTACCGGCAGAAGACAAAGCTTCAGAAAAGTCTGGTGGATAAGAGTTTGGCGATGTATAATACAAATTATTGAAAGTCGAAGAATTCTAAAGCTGAAGTCATTAATGTCAAATAAATATTTTAAAGGTCTAATCATTTTACAAGTTTTTAAATAGTGGAGAAGATTTTTAGCTTGTGTGAATGTTCTTAGTTATATTATGTTCACTAAGCTAGATAAACAGTTTAATTGTTTGTGTTTTCCTTATTGTTCTGTACACTTCTACATAAGTTAAGCTCTAATGGTATCAGCTAAGAAGGACAATAATGAATAGTCTACAATTAAACCATCCATCTATCTAGAACAAAGAACACAATATCAAGAAAATATTTCGCAAATTTTTTTAGAAAGATGAAGGTTGTTATATACAGCCAAACAACAAGAGAAAATCACCTGAACATAATAGTTTGGATTTTAATTGCATTCAATACAGAATAACATACACACATACATAAAGTAACTAAATAAATAACAATAACAGTATAACAATTCAAACAATAAAACTAAATCCATTACCTGGATGATACATTTCCCATAATGAACGTTCTAAAGCATCGGATTCTGTGGATCGACAAAAATCAGCTATTTTCAACACACCTCGATTATTATAGCATAATCTGGTATTTTGTTTTATTTCGTAGATGAATTTTGTTTTGTTTGTTTGTTTTTAGTATTAAAAATAGAAGGGAAAGAAAAAAGTCAATTATTGTTTTTGTGTTTATTAATTAACGAAACTAATTTATGGAAACTATGAATTATTATCAGTGGTCTATCGGTTAAGGGCTTCGGCTCGAGACTGGTAGGTCCTGGGTTCGGATCTCGCGAGGCGAGGTCGTGGATACGCACTGTTGAGGAGTCCCACAATAGGACGAAACGGCCGTCAAGCAGTGCTTCCAGGTTTTCCATGGTGGTCTAGCTTCAATTGACTCACGCTTTCAACTATGAATTATTAATTAAAAAAAAAATTGGGAACCAAAACATTACCGGGAATAATATACTCTTTTAATTTTTATTTTTTTAAATCTAATAAATATATGAACTGTTAAAAAAGGAATAGTGATAATATTTTATTTAAAATAATACTTTGTGTCGTTGAATAAAAATCAAGAGAATTCCGAGGAAATTTCATTTTCAACAGAATCATTTACTTAAGCTGTACATTCGCATCTATGGTTATTTGATAAACACATTGAGGAGTTCGATACTAGGATGAAATGGCCGTCCAGTACTTCCAAGTTTTCAATAGTGGTCTAGCTTAGATTGACTGATGAATTTAATGTGATAAATAGATGTCTATAGAAGGATAGAAAAGATTGCATCATAAAGTGATTCGAGACTCCAAATATCAGATGCGGTTACTTAATAATCAGGGAGTTAGAGAAGAATAGAAGGATGAAAATAGTTTACGGGCCAGAATTATAAAAGATAGTTGTCCGCTTAACATATATGAAGAAAAGAATAAAAAGCATAAAAGTCATAATAATAGCTGAACAATCATCATGAGAAATTGTTAAAGGATAATAATAACTGATTACTGTCTAAAATTACAAAACAATAATTGAAAAGACAGTACCAAAACATAACACAGAGGAGAACTAGGGTCAAGGAAGGATGAAAGGCTGAACTTATTGTTTTCGCATACACAGTTCGGGCTTGAGTCGGCGGATCGCCAACTCCTCAGCAGTGCATAAGTTTTTGATTTGACCTCCCCTTGATCTAGTCCTTTTGGTTGTGTAGATTATCTTAAAGAAAGACGCCTTCGGAACGACGTGTTAACAGTTGATTAACTGCTCCTATATTGAACTGGTAATTGTTTTCCACTCTCCTTTTAACAGCTACACCGGCTAATGACTTGAGATGAGTTTAGAAAGTGATCGTTTTGTGTGGCCAGTGTAACCGGCTCTACAGGAGAGAGTAAATTTTCAGATGCACATCGATTTGGCCCAAAGCGGAAGTTTAGCCTTAACACATCCGTGAATGGTAGGTCGGTCTTATAAGACAACACAGAGCTTAGCTGAGTAGAAGATTTCACTAAGGGATTTAGCAATTTGTTCATCCAAGAGTTCGGCTGCCATATCTACTTCAAATTCGATATTTATAAAAAGAGTTTTATTTTGAACTGTTGGTGTTTTTAAGGATACTGTCTGGATGTTAAGTTCCTATTGACGAATCTAGTTGGATAACCATTTCTGATGAGTATATGTCAAAGTTGAAGTAGTTCGTTATTCATTGCGTCATAAGAACATATTCGTCTAATCCTTGTGGATAAAGAGTGAATCAGGTTCCTCTTTCTACTCAATGGGACCCAGCTATGGAAATTTGCATACCGATCATTCCAGGTCGGTTCTCTATATATAGATTTCTGTAAACAACTATCTTGTTCTTTTTCTCTTCCAGGTTCTCTATTATAAACACGGCTCTGCATACTACCTTTCTCACACCAAACAACGCACCTTCACGCTAGACACAAATCTACCAACATTTGAATGTTACAATATCATTTATTATATTTACTTACATTATTGATTTTGAAAATGTTTAGATTTATTGTAACCTTGACAACAATGTTTAGTATATTATCCCTTAGTAATAGGACAAATAATTGATACCTAGGCTACAAATTCAACAAACAAATACACGTAATGTATTTGTAGCTATTAGGTTATAAACTGGTCGTCTATGTTTCAGTCCATCTCAACAAATTACAAGCTCATACACCCCAGATTTTCAGTTATCCTGTTTAATGTTTTATGTAGTTGAGGATATTCAATAGGAAACCTTGGACCTAGATTTCATGTTAATTAAGGTTAGTCGATGAGGTGATGATAATCAATGGAGAAATCTAGGCGCCATAGAATTTCAATAGCTGTCCGAATAGTTCAATAGCGATGTCATGGACTGTGAAACTGAATGTGGAGGGTTCAAATCCTACAGGGAGTATCAGTTCCCCTCCCCCGAAGATGGCACATAAGTCTAATTGATGAGTACCAGCCATTATGAAACCTAGGTTCATGGTTTTCTTTCGACTATTTCCAGCTAACTAATAAGCCTTGATAGCGACCATTTCATTTCATACCTAGAATGACATGAGACTATTCGAAGAGCGGTCGGTCTCTGAGGCTTAAGTATATCATTGATCATATTTTACAGGTTCAAAAAGATGTCATTATGATAATTATGTTGTGTTGTAATTAGAGTATAATATGTAAAATATAATAGTGATTTTCCAGCGTAGATTAGATCTGACATCAATTTTTGTATATGAGCAAGTTGTCTGAGCAAATTAATACCTTTAAAAAAATAATAACTTGATAACACTTCAAATTAGAACTGTGGAATAATAATTCAGAATTACTGTTTAATAGGTCATAGATTAGTATATAAAAAAGGAAAAATCGAGACAATAATCTCTAAAGTATTAACATTAGACACATTATCCCACATTACAGTTGAATAGTGTACTAGTATCGGAATCCAGTACGCAAGTTCGGTCCTATTTAGGACACATTTGTTGGATGCACTTACACATCAGCGCCGACACTCATGATAAAAGTAGAAACCCGATGGGAAGATTCAGTTTACCAATAGAATCAGTGACTGTTACATGAATTCGTGGATATTCAAAATCAGTAGTTCGGTGGATGACTCATAAGACATTTCGAATGTAAGTTATTCATTGGGTCAAAGTCTTATTGTAAACATTAACACTGGGATCCAAGTAAACCCACCTAACTATTTCCGAATAGAAAAAATGCATACGTCTTCAATTCCACTGCTAGTCATAATTCGAATTCAATTTTAAAAAGCCTGTGGCTAAATGAGAATATCAAGGTAGTTCTCTCAGGATGTATACATGATAATATAGATTATTTAGTTGAAGTCCTTGGGATCGACAACCATAGAAAAGCACAAATACAAATATATTATTCTATAATGCACTTAAGCAACAAAATCTGAATGAATATCACTACCTTTTAACCGCGATCCATCAGAACTTATCACTGGTAATCATTTACCATCATAATGTTTACACAGAAAGAATGCTACTTATGATACTGTGCCGTACGATTTGGAAATTTCACGCATTAACTCAAGTTCTTACTATCTTCTCAATAATTCTCTAATCTAACCCCAAATAATTAAGATGACAAAAGAAACTCAAGAAGTTTATTGTGGATTAAGCGATTATGATACAATGTGAAATGGACGCATACTTCTAGAAAACATCATGATGTCCCTGAGAATCTCCAGTTGAAAATGTGAGTTTTCATATCCCAGATTCAAATATGTGACTACAGTTTAAATTGTACAAAATAGTTAATTTCAATCAAGGTTTATTTAGAAATATTACGTTTCATAATAAATTAGTGTACGGAAATATAATGATAATCACAATTTGCTACTTATTTCCGATTTCGATTACTTTATTTATCAATATTGTGTCACAGTAACATTAAAAGTATTGACCATACTGAGAACAAAAATTGGTAACAAGGAAATGGTCGAAAAATCAAGCAACTCTATATTTACCAACACTCACTTTCTAAATCCCCAAAAACGACAGAATACTGACATTGATGGATGTGTAGAATTTCGTTTATTCTTCGATTTATTATTGATATTTTCTTTACGGGTATTTTTACCCGAAGTAGTTCTTCGACCAGGGGGTTTTTTAAACTGAATATCCTTATTTAATCCGTTCGAAAAATTTTGACTATTGGTTGGACTAGGGATATCACTGATTATAAGTTTTGGATTCTCTTCATCAACATCGTCATCATCATCATCACCATCATCATCATCTGAATTATCTGAATCCATTTGTCCGTTTGTATGAATTGAAGGTGAATTATGATAGGAAAATTTAGTTTGACGACAAGCACGACATTTTGGAACTTGTTTCAATCCTGGATCATTACAATTTATAAGTTGAACAAAAACACGTTGACTTCGTTTATAAAAATTTAATGAATGTGTAGAGTGTAGTGATTTATTGGCTGTTCGATTTACTTTAAGGGGAAAAGAAACAATATCAATAGATTGGTCATAAATCTTATTGAATAAATTTGTTATACCTTTAAGGAAGAAACTGAAGGAAATAAGCACATGGTGAAAACAGATAACAGCTTCAATTATGACAGATTATTCACTTTAAAATCAGTTAATAAGGTTGCGTATCTTCATCCACCGAAGTAGTTTGAACATTTGTTACGTATCCCTAAATACCGTCTACCTCAACAAGCACTATTAGCTGGTGTAAGAGTAAGTTGAAAGAAATCTAGGAGAGATTTTACCAAAATGTGACAACAATTCATGAACTGACTGACTGTTGATCTGAGCCATGTTGTTGCAGATACGAACGAAGTGGTTGAGATCAAAGTGAATATTGTGACCGACGGTTGGAAATGTCAATGACGTGGATCAGAATGTGACAGTGATGTAGATTCATTCGTCCTTAATCTTACTCTACATCTTCGATCCCAGTATTCCTTCATACATACATTTTCACTCTGTTTTTTCGGACCATGTTCTCTGTTTTTAATTTTTCTTGCTATCACTAGTTACTACACTATATCGACCTCTTTTACTATTTATCTTATTAGTTTTATCTTCTTGTGTTAATATACAGTTAGTGACTCGAGTCAAACCACATTTCCACCAGGCTATTACTTACACCTGTTATCCCTCGTGGAGAAGCATAGGTCGAACACCAGCATTATTCATCCAACCCTGTCCCAAGCAATCCTTTCCACTTCTTTCCAGTTAACATTTATCCTTTATGCTGACAAACTTTTCAGGAAATCCATAGTGTTGACGAAGTTTCCATAATGTTCTCCTGTCTACGCTGTCAAACGCCTTCTCATAGTTAATGAAGTTGACGTATAGTGATGAGTTCCACTCAACTGATTGTTCAACGATGATCCGTAGTGTCGCAATCTGGTCAGTGCACGACCGATCCTTACGGAATCCGGCCTGTTGATCTCGAAGTTGGGCGTCTACTGCGTCTTTCATCCGGTTCAGCAACACTCTGTTGAAAACTTTTCCTGGTACTGTCAACAAACTGATGACTCTGTATTTCTCATATTTGCTCAGATCTCCTTTCCTTGGTATCTTGATGAGGTATCCTTCTTTTCAGTCTGTTAGTGGCACTTGTTCCTCCTCCCAAATCTTCTTGAATGGAAAGTGAGGCATGTTTGCAGTTACTTCAATGTCTGACTTCAGTGCTTCGGCTGGTATATTGTCAGGTCCTGTCGCTTTCCCGCTCTTGATTTTTCTGATGGCCCTCTTGACTGCTTCCATCGTTGGTGGAGTGACAGATATAGGAAGGTCAGTGTGTGTTGCTTTGATGTCAAGCGGATTCAATTGAGCTGGCCTGTTCAGAAGTTCCTCGAAGTATTCTGCCCATCTTTTCCTCTGTTCTTCAATCTCCGTGATTGGCTTGCCTTCTATCTCCTTGACTGGTTTCTCTCTCTGGTTTACTATATCTCCCTGCTAGTTTCTTCGTTGTATCATATAGTTGTTTCATATTCCCTTCCATTGCAGCTTTTTCCGCTATCGTCGCTAGTCCTTCCATGTATTTCTGCTTGTCAGCTTTACCGCTCTTCTTCGCTTGCCCGTTTGCTTTCGCGTAGTCTGCTTGTACCTTGACTTTCCCTGCTCGTGTTCGACTGTTGTTAATTGCTGTCTTCTTGTTCTTCCTTTCTTCAATCTTGTCCAGGGTTCTCATAGAAATCCATTCATTATGATGATGCTTCTGGCGACCCAGAACCTCCTGACACGTTGAAGTTAGTGCTTCTTTTATCCCTTTACAATTGTCCTCCATCGTACTTTCTTGTTCTTTCAGTGGATCCTGTAAAGCTTGGAACCTGTTGTTGAGAGTTTTCTTGAATTGGTTGAGTTTGTTAGTATCTCGTAGGAAGGCTGTATTGAATCTTTGTAATGCTCTTTTTCCAGCTGTCCATTGCTTCTTAGTTTCAGTTTTATCTTGACCACAACCAGGTGGATGGTGATCTGAAGTTATACCAGCTCTTCTCCGAGTGATATGATCATTGTTACTGAATTTCAAGGTACGGTTACGGAGCTATTCATTTTTTACTGGTTGTCAACTCTCCTCGATTTGAGATCAATCACTTTGCTAATTATTAGTGAAGTATAGGAGAAATATATAAGGCTCATAATCTATAATTGCCAATTTGACGGATTAACAATATTATCTCTACTGTTGAAATTCAAAAGTACAAGACAGAACTAAATTTCAAGAAATTACAGAAACGAGAAAGAATAATTTTAAATTATTTTCAAACAGAACAGTTTTTTGATGATTGTCAAACTTTTATATATTATGTCTACGCCTCTAAAAGTCACTGCCCATCTACATCGATTTGAAAACCTCTAATAGTAGAAGTATGACTCAGGAACGAGTACACGGATTCGTACATGCATTTAACGGGTTCAGATAGTTTAAGCTAATCTAGATCGTAGCTCCTTACGATGTGATCGTCGAGCTTACAAATCGTGATAACTTAACTGAGCAAGCTACATTAGCTACCAAACTTGTTAACCATCATACCAAGCGGATCAGATGGAAAGTGGTAAAGCTGACAGCAGAAACTTAAGGTCCTAGGCTGAAGTCGTACTTCTAACTGTACTGAAGCGTGACGACAATGAGGCATTTCACTCATACCACCGACATGCGTAGTGGCACTTCCTTCCCACAACGGAAGGAATAGATTAACAATGATGACAATAATAATTATTATCAGCTCATTCACTGAATACATGGATATGAGCCACATTCCAAATGTGAAGGATAAAGATAATACCTGGTTGCCAAGGCCGAGATAAGTGAAGCAGAGTTCTTACCTTGGACCTAGCGGTTGAAGGTCGAACACCTTAACCACTAAGCCTCCATTCCATAGCCCAAAAGATTTCCATCACTAACCATAAGGTCATAAAAATACGAAGGAATCACACCAAACACTACTCACAAAAAGATTGCGTGTAACTTTTCTGAAGTAATTACCTCTTAGACCTTGCATTCAAACTCCAAGGTTAACAAGACCGCTACCAATTCATTTTTCATTTCAAGTCGCTTTAGAAAAAGTATCATTCCACAGTGTAATCAATCACAAAGTGACAGCTTCTTACACATCTCTATTTAAAATGAATGAAATAAATCATGAAACACTGGTTCATAATAGCATAATAAAAACAATGTAGACAGATAAGTGATGTCATATACTTTAATGATTTACAATCACTTACAATCAGGTGGTCCAGGAAGTTGTTCAACCAGTTTTTCAAATTGAAAATTTTCTTCAGCTAAAGCAGCTGATAATTCATCTGCCATAGAATTTTCACACATCAGTGTATAATCATCTTGATTTAATAAATCCGTTTTCAATTTCATACATACTGTTAAATCATCACCATCCTCTCTATGAATGGTAGTTCTTGATTTACCATTATCACCACGTCGATGTTGTTTCGATGTTGTTTTTACTGTTTTTCCTTCCATCATCATTGTCGTTGGCTTCGTGGTTGTTAATGATGATACAGATGACAGACGAGGCTTTTTTGCCGTTATAATTGTCGATCCAATTGTAGTACCAGATGCTACCGTTAAAGTAGCTGTTCTTTTCGGTTTTCTTAAATTACCACCACTACCAACACCATAGACAGTCTGTGCACTATCTATGGATGAATGTGTAATACCAGGTGACCCATCATTTGAATTTAATGATTGATTATTAATATTATCATTATTATTACCAATACTATTATTATTATTAGTGATGGTATTAGAATTCATAGTTAAATATTTTAAAGTAGATTTATATGATTGTAGTCTTGAATAAGATAATTGACGATCAGTGGAACATTTTGAACGTGTAGTATTAACAGATGAATTTGATGAAGAATTTAAACATACATCATTATCATCATCACTGACTTCATCACCAACACTTTGTAAACTAGAAGAACTACTACTATTACTGTTATTACTACCTGAACTAGTGCTTCTTTGAGCGTGTGCCGTAACCATCATCATAAGATTACCATTAACAGCAGCTATACGTTTTTTTATACTACCTCTCATTAAATCATTACATAATGATGTATGTGATAAACTTGATGTACTGTTCGCACTTGAGCTATGCTTTCTTGAACGTCGTCTTCTAATTGTCGATCTAATTTTTTCATCATCAACATTATTATCATCATCATTGTTCTCCTCTTGCTCTTCTTTTACCACTTCCTCATTATTATCATTAACAATGACATCCTCATCTTCATCGTCATTAGTGACATCATCGAATTCTAATTTCATCGCTGACACTTGTTTATTCATACTCAATTTCGATTCAACATCATCATTCAATGATTGATTTAATCGATGTGTACTTTTTGAATTAGATTTTCTTATAGAACTTAATGAAGATTTTGTACGGATTTTAGTTGGTTTATTTTTATTTGTGTTTAAGCTTGACATTTCATCTGTTTCATATTTAGTACGTTTTTTTCGTTTAAATTTTCTCTCTTGACAATCTAATTTTTCTATCTGAATAAGAAAACGAAACCAGCCAGAATAAATATAAATAAAATAACTATCATGCGGGGAAATGAATAAACTTAACATCATTAGCACAAAACAAGAAAGTATAAAAAAGGAAATGGAATTGAAAAGACAAATATATCTAGACTCTACAAGATAATAAAGTAACGTCTATCATCACGTTCTAATAATCACAAATATTTATATCAATACAAAAAGACTATTATACAGTTGAAGGCAGTCTGTAGACAGTTCTGAATGTAGATTTCCTTCTAGCTGCACTCATCAAAAACGCTACATGATTTGCTGAGAGAACTGATGCTTCCCGCGAGATACAAATCTGTCTAGCCCAGTTTCACAGAAAGATATATTTTCCCTGAGCTATTAAGGTAACAACTGACCTTTTGAACAGCTACCCTACAACCAAGAATAGTGCATCCAAGTATAATTCACACAGACTGGTGACCACATTGCAACTATCAACAGCCTTAAAGAACTAGACAAGACGTTGTTTACTACTAAGTTGACCAATCATTGTAAAATCTTGTCAGTTGTTCCAACTATATTTTAAGTAAGAAACAATACGTCGTCAAGAATACAAGTAATATAAGTTGAATATGTTATAAAAACCAATAATTCAATGATTGAAAATTAAATAACTGAGAGGATAAAAATCAATATTCCCTTGAGCAATGACAACATGGTAAAATCGCTTCAACAAAAGACTATTAAAGCGTTAAAGTAACAGACAGTACATATATTTTCTTCTTTAAACATAAAACCGTTTTGGAAGTGATAATGTTTTCAGTCCCTAAATAGTTAACTAATTGAAATTATCCACCCCCAGTGTAATATCTGACCTAGTTATGCTTAAACGAAGCGCTTTTTACAAGGTCACCACTTTCTTGATGTAAATAAAGAAAACGACAAGTTTAATCAGAATGCTGGGAAGGCTTAATACTGGAGTGAGTTGCATCCTGAAGACGTATAACTGAGATCTCGGTGCACTAATGCTAACAAAATTTACAACTGTCTTTACAAATTTATTCTAAGGCGCGTTATCTAACAAAGTCTAATGTGCTCTATTCTTCCATCTCTAGCGCCAGTTTACACAAAGAGCTAGAACCGAATCGCCTATTAGTCGTTAGTAACCCCAGGTTATGAACATTAGTATTCATTCTGGCTGGAAGACAAACCAAAAATGGCATAAAACCGTGGTTTTTCTCTGTTCACTCCTATTCTCAAGGCCAGTAAAGAACACTAGCACCAAGCAATTAATTTTTCTCATCATATGCATCAAAAATATATCTTGATGCTGCTCAGTGGAGATCTCAATAAGTCTTTAAAGATGAGATATCGAGGATGACTGTTCAGATGACAAATGGTGTTCATTTTGTGTAACTTTAGACAGATTACAAAATATATTTGACTTGTTATCAAATTATTACTAATATTCAAAGTCATCTCCAATTATTTCATTTCAAGAAATCACTATAAACGTGGGTGTATACAGGATTATTTTTTAAAGTATGTGTCTAAATTTTGATCGTGCTCACGCCCGACAAAATTATTTTTACTTTATATTAATTAACACATATGTAGGTAATATTTATGATATGTTGAAACCAGTTAGAATAACAGTGAAAGTCAGAGAGAACTGGGTGGCGTATCGATAAACTGACCAGTGAGGGAACCCAAGCACTTCAGGTCTCACAGAATCCAACGATTCACACTCTCAACTTCAATCAAATAAGTAAGAATTAATTAAAAAACTGCGGTAGATTTGAAATTAGTTAGTAATTTTTTAAAATGTATGCATTGCTATGGAATACGCTTGAAATACGTCAAAAATATATAAAAAACTTCGCCTTCTAGAAACAACCGTCAAATAAGAATTAAGTTTGTACGAGTTTTTTTAGACCTCTTTCATGTGTATCCACCTACTCCTACAAATGGCGAGTGTAATCAAACCTACATCTCTTTTACGTAGAGATTCTCAACATATCTAGACCCACTAAAGTCAACGGCTGTAAAACTCTGCTAAGATGACAACAACAGCTACCTCTGAAAATATTCAGGAACTGTTTCATTTCTTCGTGATGTGTTTTCTGAATAAGATGGATGAACGGCAGAGCTTTCACTGTCATTCTAGATAACATTATCAGTGCCTACTATAATAACACAACCAAAACGGCGAAACCCTTGATATCAGTGGGTAATCTATGAATTATGTGCAAAACAGTTATCCGACTAGCCTAGTGTATCAGAAACCTTATCCATAATCTGTTGTGTTTCAAGATCAGTTGATATCAACCCCTTTTGTAAAGCAAACATTGTACGTAACTTCACTGGTTCATAACTTAATATATCACCATCTATATGAATCTTCAAGTAGTGTATTAGATGTTCAACCCGTCCGACGATAAGTAGTAAACCATGTGAGATAATGTGTTTGTTTATGTGAGATAACCATATATAATTGATTTTAATACAGTAAAAATATATTACTACTAACGTAAAACGGAAAATTAGATAAAAGCTTACAACATTATCTTTCATTGCGATCCGGCTTTCAGGTGAATACTGTTTGTTTTTTAAATCATCTGCATTAGTTGATCTATTGTGAGAATTATCCATAGGTGGTTCAGTCTTAACAAGGTTACACGTTGATAACTCTGATGGTTTCATATCTACACGATCAGCTTCATAACGTTGAATAAGTCGTTTTTTCAATGGCATTGAAGTGTTTTGCGATCGATGATCTGATATTTTAGTATCAACAGTAAACTTTGTTCGTATACACTCTTGTTTAGGTTGTGGCAACAAAGTTGGCATTACATTTAGTGTACCTACTATGGGATGTCGTTTATATTGTTCAGATAGCGTAGATAGCTTGCCTGGATAGTTACTAATTCGATTACTTTCTATGTTGTTAGACAATTCAATGGTATCATTATTACTAATTGAATTTGTATTCGTAGGTAAAAATTGTCCACATAAAGAATAACCAGTTGGAGATTTTCCTCCAGAAATCGCTGAGAATTGTGACTGGCTAGAGTTCAGAACTCTAGTTATTCCGGTATTTGGAGATAAAGATTTGATTGTCTGACAACAAGATGAAATGGGTGATTCAGTCTGTAGGGTGGGTCCTTTCGGATTGAAATTCACAGGAATGGTAGGACTACAATGATCGGAAGTCGGACTTCTAACAAGAGATTCAGAAGTAACAAATGAAGCAGATGATAACGACGGGGGTGAACTGGTTGTTGCTGCTTTGGTATGTAATTGGTTTGTAGAAAATGAAGATTCTGAAGTAGTATTGGAAAAAGAAGTCGGCACCAGACATACTGGTGACGACAAAGAACCTGAAGATCTAATTCGATTTGCTTTACTCATAGGTATGTTTTGAGGCATTGTACAGGAAGGCCAATCTACACTCAAAGATGCCAATTTCGCATCGTGTAGTATAGCCAGTCTTGAATCGGATAACTCAACTGTATGATCATGTGGACTAGGTTGTAATTTATAAGAATGGGAAGAATCTGTTGAGTAAGCTCTTTGATCAGTTGTTGACCAGGGTGGACAACACATATGATCGTATTTGTTCATTGGTTCGTTTCCAGGAGTTGAAGAACGTGAATTTAAACGATTTGTCAACTGATCCATTGATCTTGGTAAAGAAAGACTATTTTTCATACTAGGATATCTTAAGTCAGACATTGTTCCTGTTGAGACGGATGAGATTGTTCTAGTATTGGTCATTGATAAATCATTAACTCTTCGTGATTTGCAATCGGTTCCAATCCTTGGGATGAAAGTGGGGTGGGGGCAATGAAGTAAAAATCAAAAAAATACAGGTCATAAATTTAAATCAGTAATGCCCTTTGAAAGCCTCTGCCAGTACAATTAACAATGGAACTTACTTTTACTACCTAAGTGAAATGGGGAAAGCACAGGTGAACTGTGAAAGTTGATAACTGTCATGAATATCAACAACTATAATTTAACATTTGTTTCTTCAATTACATAAATAAGTGCTATATTCCGTTGTTTAACTTTGACCTGAACCCGTGATAAACAACCCACTAGCAATAGTTATATGTATATAGATAAATTAATTTACAAATATTTGAGCGACGTCATTCGTATCTAAAAGAAGGATAGAGTTACTTCTAAATTTATCCTGTAATTAAAGAATCGCCTGAAATATTTTGTCTTGACCCGAATAGATAGATGGATCTCATGCTATAACAACAGTTGTAGACCATAATTTAATTATCCTGAAGATCAATAAAAGAGTTATAATTAATTATTATCCTTAAAGTTGATCAGAGGAACCCTATCAAAACAAAGGACTAGACGATACAACACAATGGTTATTGATTTAATGAATGAATAGTGTATAAATCTCAGTCTTCAAACATGAATTACGCTACTGAATAGCTCACTGGTAAATTCTCTCACCATAACACTGGATAGGAAATCCGTTCTCTCAAAAATGGAAATGTAACTCGTCAGGAAATATTATAAAAATAACGCCAATCAATCCAAGACATAGAAAACACACGCAAACGTAGAAAGTAGGGAACAGTAGAGAGTCCAACATTATTCTAATATGTTACCTCCTAGAGTCTAATTACTCCAAAATACATATAACCAAGCTAATAAACTAACCAATTTATTAACAGGGCAGATATTTTATAATATGATCATATTATTAGGCTGTTTTATACATGAAGAGGACTAATACATATTCAAACCATAACTTAAATGCAGGTCAATTTAATAAGTAATCTAACTAATGTAAATTTACATGTTATTAATTAATTTGTAAACAAAAATCGAAAAAATAGTGGTGTGGATTAATTCTTAAAATGTTAATGATTTGTAATACACAGAATATTCTTACAATCTGAATACTAGTAGTAATAACAATAACAATACTAATAATATTTTTGTGATCAAATCTTTACTAATAACGATATAAACATTATGCCCGTTGAAAAAGGTACTTGGTTAATGCCCAAATGAGAACATTCATACTAGAATGTAGTTAAATATGACTGATAAGTCCTAAATTGGATGAAATGTATATCATGAATTCTAATCATAAGTACAGTCCATCTACTCTATGAAATCAGAATACGTATTATTTATATACTTAGTCAGAGACATCATTCTTCTTGAAGAAACAGTTTAAACAGTATCATCATTGATGAATATAGTGCTGAATAAATTGGTCATTCATTCGGATACGGTTAATTTCCTGATTGATAAGTGAAATGAATGATTACGACGTGACGACAGTGTGAAAAATTCAGTTTAAGTTTTTTTTTTCGATAAATTCCGATAAATAAATGTATATATCAAGTCTACATTTGATCAATAACTATAACGAACAAACCATATTCAATAAATCACAAATAAACCCCAATACTATTTTTAGAAGATTTAAACATATATATAATATGGCTTAGTTCTTTTTGTAAACTAATTTATCTCTCATTTTCATTCCTATTTTTTTGTTTATTACGATGATGAATATTATTTTGAACTAGTTAATAGACAATAGTAAATACTTTATAGTCGCTCCACTACTGCATACTTATGAATATGTACATAGACAGAGAGAGGATCACGTGGCGTGACAATATGTGCATAATTATATATATATATATATAAATTAGTACCGATCTGTTCGTTTAATTATATAACTCAACATTTAACCACTAAGTCTCAAGTTCACAATTCCTGTTCCATCTAATTTGGTTTAGACAACTGAATAATATCCGTAGTCCTCATCATACACATATGCGCGTACTCACACACACACACACACAATAACTTTTAACTCAAATCCTAGTACACATAAGTCTATACTCTTGATGAATAAATTTTACTTTCACCAATTGATTATCTAATTTAAATACAGAAAAATATGTTTTCATTTACATTCCTCAATGGAAATTTTTACAAATTGTCTATGAACTCTGTTCACTCATGTTCATAAATCAAATAAGCCGGTATGTGTGTGTATGTCCAATGAATTTACGTACTAATGATAGACAACACTTAAAACTATCTCCATATGACATAGTTTCAAGTCTAGTTCCCATAATTTATAGTAAAAAGAAAAAAACAATTAATCAACAAAATGGATAAATAATGAAAATAAAACTGCAGAAAAGGACATGTAGAATGTACAAACAACAGACACTTATAATCATAGAAATAAAACAGTGAAAATTTAGACAGAAATATAGAGTGAATGTAAATTCTTTATTTTAATAGATTTTAAATAACGTCTAGATAAGAAGTATATTCTTTAAAAGTTAGATCAACAGGAACCGAATTTATTATACCTAATTATTCCGTTATCCTTGAATTCATTAAAGATACTAGACTCTTAGTTATAATATCAGGAGTTCAAGTTTATTCCTTATCCTTAAATAAGATGAACTAGTGAAAAAATTCTACCTCGCTTATAAGTTTCATGTATTATTTACACAGAATGACCAGAATATTTGGGTAGAACCAGTAAGTTGTAGGCTTAAGTCACTCCTCACTTAATTCGACCTGGAAAGCCTACATACAAAGTGTTTGGGCCAAAGATGAGTATGTAAATCTGTACTGTGTAAATGAATGACACTATATCAAATTAGTTTATTATACCTGTATACCTAGACACAACAAGAATCTCTATGTAGACCAAGCGTATTTGACCAAACAGATTTTTTTTTTAAATCGATAGCATTTAACTATTTTAAATAATAAAATTCAAAAAATAGGTTTGGTTATGTTGTGGTCTCATCATCTGGATTTGTTCGCATTATGATGGGTATGATGGTATCCCAAATGAAACACATTGTCTTGAACTCCGTAACGTTATCCACTTGATTACAAAATTAAATTATCTAAACTTTATTCAGTATGTCACTAATTTTGTTTCATTAGTATACATTGAATAAGTCTTCAGGAAAATAATATTTAGAAAAAAATAAACCACCAATCATAGTTTAACATCAAAAACTCATTATAGTTAAACAATTATTGAAAATCAGGAAGTAGTGGACAATTGTTTCGTCCTAGTACGAGACTTCTCAGTGTTATGCACTATTACACCACCAGCACTAGAAAAATGCCTTTGATGTATCACAGTGATCGCATAACTTTCAGACCAGTAAGTTGGAGTCAAACTTTTTACATTTCCAACTTCAGTCAGCTCGTGATGTTGCGTGACTATTGTCCATAGTCATTGGTGGCATGTCGTCCGACATCAATAAATTCCCAATGTCGAGGTTTTGCACTAGAACTCTGGAAGTCGAAGACGCTAATAACCATGCAATGACTGGCCGAATCTCATAATCTACAACTCCCATACTAAAAACACTATTTACCTAACATAGATCAGATATATTTTAACCTAAACATAGAACAAATGATAGAAAAAACTAAAAAAAAATTTTTATTGAAAAATGAAATAAATAAATGAAATCAGTAACCATGTAAATATTTACTTGCTAGGCTAAGAACCACGCCTTATACATATATGAAAAGTTAAAGTAAAATGGAAATCTGATTCACATACTAAAAAGAATGAAGTGTCACTTTTTTTTGCCTAATCGATGATTAAATATTAAAAGATCAAACGTCAAGTCCTCTCCGTGATCCTCCGAATCCACCGGTCCAACCCCTGGTGGGGTCACAGATACGAACCAGTCTTACATCCAAAAAGATAAAGTCTTATTTCAATTTCATTGGTACAACTGATGACGTTTCTTAATTGAACTTTTTGATCCATAAATGAATAATCAAATTTGGTATTTTTTGACAACAAATAACATGGATTTATTGAGAGGTTTCAATTAACTTATGGATAATAATAATTATTACTGTTAATTTATTATTATTATAAAATAGATGACTTATCCAGTAAAGTAGTGGCTCAGTGATTATGTTCTACTTTCAGTCATTAAGCTGAGGGTTGGTATCCCTCCCCAATAAATTTATTTATGACAAGCGGGTAGTATCACAAATCATCATGCTTACAGTGTGGTTACAAGTAAAGTACACTCATTTGTACATGGTAAATGCAATAAACAATCAATACCGATGAAGTGCACCAGCTGAAATTATCGAAAAAACGAGTGAACATTGAAAAAGCATCAATTTTGAGCATATCAATTAAGTATAGGAATTCACTTAGTATTGTTTGTTTGGATCTTCCCATCGATGTATTTAGGACTGCAACTGGTCAGTCTCTAATTGGCATATGTGCATACTGTGCGTATTGCCTCGATATACCTTAATTCACAAGCATGGTAAGCAGAGATGGATAGTGGCTAGCAGTGGCTAGCAGGACTCAGTGGCCGAGTGGATAACGCGATGGCGTTTGAAACGAGGGTACTGGGTTCGAGTCCTAGAGTGAACATCAACTCTGAGATGAAGGTACAACCAGCTGACGAGTCCCAAATAGGACGAAACGCGCGTCCTGGATTCCACTGCTAGCCACTATCCATCTCTGCTTAAGTATAGGAATGTTTGTGAGTAAATAAACACCCAGACAATCTCCATTTGTTTATACGCATGTAACCTTAAGAATAGTTAGTTCTTTCTTAAGCATTCACGGGGAAAAAATTCAAATGTATGTTTTAACTACTTCAGCACTAATGTTATCACAAAGTGTGACGTAGATATTCAAACTTAGATGCTTCAATCCTCACTATCAACATTATCTATTTTTATTATTGATAAACACGAAAGGTATATACGTTTGAATGTTTACTTCATATGCCATTAAAACACTGAAGCTGAAGTGAAGAAAATAAATATTAGAAATTTCCTCGAGAATATTCAGGAGATGACAGATTGTTCTTAACTATATATGTATATGCAAAATTAAAAGCAGACTCCATAGGCGTTTATTCACTCACAGACAATACTATGCATGATTGATATGTTCGAAATTGATACTATTTTTCGATATTTAGGCCTACAACAGATCGAAAAACGCGTTTCTTCATTATTATTTTAGAGTGAAAACACGTATAATCAATTTGTAGGTATCAGTGCCGAGGTTGGTAGGAAGCTAATAATAAACATACTTTTTATGATACTTCAATGAGTAGAAAATTTTATTTCTGACGTTTCGTGACTTAATGTAAGCTACTTCTCGAGAGTAAATATTTATCAAACGTCAAAAATACAACTTTCTACTGATTAGGATATCATAAAAATGTATTTATTACATGTGATCAATATTGTTTATGTGTGTGTTTTTGTATAGCCTGATAGAATGGATTCAGTATTATCAGATCTTTACATGATGATCTTATTTGTGCACGATTAATAATTTTCTAGTTCATTACCATGAAATTGTAATAATCATACTACCGAAAAATGCTACAACTTTTGTCAGTTCCTCAGTCAATCATAATCAATATTAAGCGAAGCATAAGTGTGCATCGACTCAGGTTGCTACACTGCATCAGCACGGTCAGATAAAATTGATACACTGAATACAAAAGTAAACGAGACAATAATAGTATCATTGGTGGTGAGAAAGATTAAATACTGCGAAATACTATTTAAAAAGAAATGATAGATTCAAAGAATAAAGAGTACGTAATCATACTGAAGTTCATTGTTTAGAGGAAGACAGAAGTGAATGCATCTGTTCCACTAAGTTTTTTAACCAGTGAAATCAAACAATGCTGAGATTCAAAGCTAAGAATAAGAAAGTCAGGATTTGGTTACTAAAAATTCAAAAATTTCCAGATAGTCGAAATTCATATCTCAATACTGATCAGTATAGTTAATAACGACTTAAATTACTTCTTAACAAGCAAGCTTCTCTCCCTCCTACCAAATATGAGTATGATTTGTTTTCACTTGGTTGTTTAACTTGATAAATAAAGAATCTCTCTATTAAACAACTGATAATTATATATATGACAAAGTTAGATTTAACAGACCACGACCAAAAAAAATTACAACTTAATCTATACATAATTACTACTTTAACATTACAGATTCTTGCATCCGATGATATACCTAATTATTTTTCTCTAAAATTCTGAATTTCCTTATCTATTTAAAGAATGTAAAATGACATGTAATATGGCAGTGGAGAGTTATTAGCATAAAACTGCACTTAATAATAAAGAATATTTTTCAATCTGACACATTAAATCGGTGCGATAAATAAATTCCAGTATTGCTTTATAAGTACGTGTCTTTCCGAGCCACATACCCGATGTTTAGTCTTTCTCATTACCATTGTTATCACAATATTTCGACCGCTTTACTATTCATCTTATTAGTTTCATCTCATTATTTTAGTATGGTATGGAAACTACAGCAAACGCATATCTGCATCAGACTATACACTGATTGACTGAGTGGATTAGAAGTAAATAAAATGAATATAGTTGAATGATAGGCAGGCTAAATAAATTTATCAGACTATAATCCTGCATAATATATAACTCCCTCGGACACCTGCACATTACTACAACCCACAACATAAGCACACATAAACCAATACTTAATAATAATAATAATAATAATAATAATAATAATATATTCAAAGTAAAAAGTCTAAGAATGAATGGATTTCTGTTATAGTGACTGATTCTAAATCATGTCTTAATCTAGCAATCTATTTTTATCTTTTCGGATTTGAAAAAGGGATATCTACGACTCTGCAAAATCCAGATCAACCAGTCAATGATTTCATTGTGCCGATGTTACTTTTTAAACTGATTGTTTTATTCTGATTGGTATCATGCATCGAAATAAAATATGACTTAGCATGTAAAACATTACCCAGCTACTTCAGTAAGTGTAAATTAATTTAGTTATCGATCGATTCACTTTCCTCCCCCATACCTTTTCGGTTAATTTCAGTATTACTCAGTCAGTGATCCAGTATTCATTCATCCATTGTGGTAAAGATATCCATGACCGAATGCCAATAATCTACGCATACCTCCCACTCCTAATAACTATGTCTGAAAGTTATAAACTAGCACGAAGACTACAACATAGTATGCTTATTCCTTTACCGGCATTTAGATTTTGGTGGGATATGTTGACAAAATATTGGACAAATTCTCACTAGGTGTGTTAAGACTTCCACCAACGATAGAACAGTCTAATTTGATACACCTTAACCGGAGTAATTAAATAGTCTTAAGAGAAAGGGAAACAATGTAAGACTTGAATGAAAAATAACACCAAAGGCTTCTGGACAAAGTTTTGTAAACAATATAAAGTACGTAAAAAGAGTCGAAATTACTATTAGAATTATCCATCAGTATGTAGAAGACAAATATATTAATAAAGAAAAATCTTATGGTAATCCATTCATGAAGTTGGACGATCTAATTTTAAAATTTTGTTTTCATTATCATCATAAACGACACATGTTTTTAAAAAAGCAATCCATTTCAGAGAACGTAACGTCATTAGAATCGACTGCTGTTTGCCTATATCATCTTATTACTTTGATCTTGCCGTACTGATATGATATTGTAAGTTGAATCAGTGCACATGTGATTAACTGATATCCAGATGATGAGTTTCGATTCTTGTCCGAAAATTTTCATTATTACTAGAGTACATTCATGAAACTTTAAACATGCATAATGAACCAAAATACAGAAAGCAAACCAAAACAACACACTATCAATAAATGCTATCGTAAAGATTAGTCGTCGCCTATGATTAACTCTAAATGATTAGTTCTTTAAAACCAGTTGAAATTTTTTTCTATCTTAACAAATCAGTGAAAGAAAGTAAATGTGAAAAAGATGAACGTATAAAACGTGATTAAACAAAGAGCAAATGGATATCGATTAATCAAAATATTTCAGATTTTAAAAAATATTGATGGGGAATAGGTGCATTAATAACATCGTGTGATTTTAAGTCGAACCATTTAAGCTTTCTGACCAATGATGTCTCCTAATTATCATCGCTATTAACCATCAAGGTTACATCTCACTACATTGCATAGATTATAAGTTAATGATTCTCATGAATTAATATTGTAAGGCCTTAAACTCTCCAAAGATAATGTTTTAAATATAACTGAATAACTAGAACTACTTAATAATAGCAGAGCTAAAAGCGCAAATTGTGATGTTCAAATATATTAATAACCACAGTTGAAATCATGAGTCAATTGACGCTAGACCACCATCGAAAACCTGGAAGCACTGGACGGCCGTTTCGTCCTATTATGGGACTCCTCAGCAGTGCGCATCCACGAACCCGCGCAGGTTTTCGATGGTGGTCTAGCTTCAATTGACTCATGATTTCAACTGTGAAAATACTAAATTCTCCACAAAACCCCCTCTGATATTAATAATCATTCATTTATGAAAAGATAAAATAAAAACCTACCCGCTTCTGTTCATGACGTGGACATGATTTTCAATGTAACCACCACTAGTAACAGGATTTGGTTCAGAAGAAACCGGTGGAGAAAAATTATGACTTGAGTTGACTGGTTGTTTATTCCCGGAAGAATCAACAATGTTGCTTAGATTTCTATATGAGGAATTATTAGCTAATAATGCTAATTGATTCACATTATCCCATTGGGAAAGTAATACAGCTGCAGCTTCAAGTTGAGAAGGGGATAACATACTTGCTGCCCTAGCTACAGCAGATATTGTTGGTAAATCAAATCCACTCGGCAATTGATGACTTTGTGTCAAAGGTTTATTATGTCTTGTTTGTTCGCCAGAACCACTTAAACGTCTAGGAGGTAGATGTGGAGGAGGAGAAAATCTCTGTGAGTTGTTAGGTGCTGGATATTGGAACACAGGTGAATTAAGCATAGGACTAGACCTAAGTGATTGAGATGTCCGCTGAATCTTCGAATTATCTGGACTTTTTATCCTGAGTGGTAGATTCGGTGAATTATTATGAGTAGATATATGGGTCTGACGTCCCTGAGTATCAGGTTGATGTAATGAACCTTGAGAATATCCAGTATTATGTACAGAAGATAATGTATCCATCTTGTTTATTTTAGATCCAGTAGAACAGTTATTAGAAGGAAGATGCATTAAATCTCCAGAATTTTTATTGACATTAAGCTTAGCCAAATTCTGAGCATAATTTGCTAGATATTCCTGTGGTAATACCTGAAGTAGTAATCCAGGTTGTTGTTGCTGTTGTTGCAATAACTCCGTAGGATAGTGAGAAATTGTCGTTATCAAATTTGGATTCACATCATTTCGGCGTCCAGGTAAAGTAGACTTAACAGGATGACTAGATTGTCTAGATGTCACTACTTGTGATTTATGGTCACTGTGTAAATACTCTGTAGTCAAATTAGATGTTGACCGATCTACGAGAGATTGTTGTTGGAGCATAGATAAACTATATGGATCTCCAGTTGATATTAAATTTCCAGTTGCTAAGGTTCTAACCGGAAGTTGAGTAGAAACTACTGAATTTGGTAATGATCTAGAAAGTGATCCAACTGTTTGTATAGGTGTATCACAGCATAGCTTTTTTGAACCAATATTTGAAATGGTATTCACTGTAGAAGGAGAAGAAATTAGATTTGTGGAGGAAGTATGTACAGACGCCATCCAACGTTTTTTCTTTGGTAACATTATTATAAATGATTGTTAGATTTGTTTTTAATTTGATAAATAATTCCAGACTGAGGGGTAAATTATAAATTAAATTAATCCAGTTCAGTTAAATAGTAAACCATCAACAATTTAAAAATCCATGTTGGTAAGGTGATTCACTATCATTGAATTAGTTCAACATTAAAGTATTGACATTTATTCATATTGATTAATCGATAAATAATTGATAAATCTTTGTTAATACATCATTTATTCATAAAGAAGTTAATATTCAATGATTCTTTAGTAAACAACTAAATATGAATAAAATAACACAATTGATTACTCTATGTATTTTATAATACGTTTTAGTTCCACTGTCTTTTCTTTACTAAAATAAAAATGAACTTTCGACCATTTGTCTATCAGTCCATTAAAATGTTTATTAAAAATTCTGTCTATATTCTAATTTAACCAACAGTTAATGAATCATTCATGTAATGGACAAGGTCAATAATTTTAAACCAATCATAAAATTAATTCTATTTACCAATGATAAAGAAATTGTTAATAGACATCAAAAAAATTAGAAAATTTTTACAAATTGTTTAATTTATGAGCTCTTTTATTGGATTCTTATAAGGACAATATATCTTTTTTAACGATTCCCCTTCAACAAAAACTCAACTATAATGAAATAAGTAAGAAAAAAATGTATCCAACCTGTTAAAATGTTTGAATACTGGATAAACTTGGTGATGGGAATATTAACTATACCGTATAGTCTGCAGAAATATCAGATGATAAGATGTCGTAATCTAGGTTTTTTCAAATATAGCCTTAACCTAATGGATTGAAGATAATAGAATCACAAAATTGACTTCATAATTCAGTTAGATAATCACCCATACACGGTTTGTTATAACAAAAAATATCTGATATACTTCTGAATTAATAATTAATATACTCCGTAGTATGTGGATGCTGGGAATATGTCGTTGAGAAGGAAAATCTATCATGGAGACTTTATTCATAAAACTCTCACTACCTTCATGGACAATAACATTACTATTATACCTTCATAGCACCAATCTCCTCTACACATTATTATTACTGATACTTAGAATTATGTAATAGGCTTTAAATAATAAAAGGTAATCGTATGAGTTTGTGAAAATCAACCCCTTGAATATGTATACATTTTGAAGACATTTTTCAATCTTATTAAATTCACAGACATAAAACTGTGGTGTACTGTTGATGTTAATGTGAACACCTTAATTTCTTCATATTTATAGATAAACTACGTTAAAGAGTTCCAAAAGAATGAAAACCTCCGGAATCAATTTCTCACTTCATAATTAGAAATAGATTACATCATAATAGTTGAATGGTCTTTAATATAAAATCAGTTTGTAATGTAAACTATAAACCATATAAACCTCCACAAATTCTTCACGTTAATAGTAATCAATTGTTCACGTGTGCCTAGAGAAAATTCCAGGATTTCTAATGAGAAGCAGTGATCAGTGAAGCCGGACCATGTCGTATTTGAGGCATCTACCCACATTTGGTACTGACTCCTGGTTGAGATATACCGTCAATTGATTTGAATTAAAAATGTAAACATCAGATTCCTTAGTCAGTGGTTTCAAGATTAAATGTTCAACAGGTCATGTGTTAGATCGAATGTGTAGTCGTGGATGTGAATTGTTTATGGCTCCATATGAGGATAAAATAGTTTGTTCAGTACTTTCTGGCCTCCAAACGTCAGTTAACTAACGTCAGTTAGTAATGTAGACCACAAAATTCAAACATCTTCTCAAACCCCTTGGATTAATAATGTCATATTGTGTTGGATGATCGGTAGGGTTTGAATAACATTTTGAACAGAGAAGAATTTAATATTATAAAATACTTGCATATCATATTGAACATTCTTTCCCTTCGTTTTAAATTTCCAAATCACTCAATACTTATTTCTAAAAGTTTTCATTACAACTCATTTGAAAATTATTTATTTTTCTGAAAAGGTCATTTACTTGACCTTTTTAATCTAGGTAACCATTTAACAAACACTTATAAAACGTAAATGACCTTTTCACGATAAGATCACAGGTCAGATTTACTCATTTCTCTATGTTCAAATTAAGATTTATTCGAGCAAAAAATAAATTGTTCTAGTAATTATTCATTGAACTAACTTCGTGAAACAAAATCAATAGTTTGGGTTGGTTTTATGGAGAAAATACTTGATTCTTAACACTCAATATATGTTTGAAAATTCGAAAGAAAGCAGTTCTATTTGACAAACTTAAAATCAGTCTACATTTAATAACTTAATGACGAAGTATATCAATACATGAAGAAGTATATATTTGTACTTGCCCCTAAACACCCTAGTAAGGACGAGGATGAGAAATCCCGTCCTTCCTGCTCGAAATGATTTCATACAGTCACAAGTCTACAGCCTCTATCAGTGAAGTCTTACTCACTTAACCCACACGATAAGGGGTGTTTCACCAAATTGAGATGATAAAAAGGGGATGGGCAGGATATAAACTAGATTTCAGGTATAAATGCCAAAGTTGGACTTGATAGTTTCGAATAAATTGAGTATTGGGTAGAGAGTTAATAATAGATAAATATTTTTTTATATCTCAATGAGTAGAAAAATTGTATTTCTGAAGTTTCATGACTTAATGTAAGTCACTTCTTCAGAGTAAATAAAAAACCGAATTAAATTAACAAGTTTAAATAGTACAAAGGAAGCAATGCAGAGTATTTTTAGTACAATCAAAATCATATTCTGTATTGTTTTCTTTGTACTATTTAAACTTGTTAATTTATTTCGGTTTTTTATTCTCTTTGAAGAAGTGGCTTACATTAAGTCATGAAACTTCAGAAATACAATTTTTCTACTCATTGGGATATGACAAAAATTGTTTGTTATAAACTAGATTGGTTTTTTAGCAGATCTACCTAATGAATTCGGCAATTCGTTAACCCAAAGTAAAACTGTAAATGAGCCCAAGGAACCAGATGATATGTAGAAATAATTTAGTTACGAGCTACCATGAAACTACATCTCCCGAATTTCCCTAATACCCAGCGTCGAAGACTGTTATTAAGCAAACCACTTTCTTCATTTTAGTCATTTGAGTAGTGTCCCCTCTCATACACATGATAATGTATCAATCAACATCCTCATGATTTCAATAAAATGGTAAATGATACGTAGTGGATAAGGATTTTTACCAATGAAGATTTATTTATATCATTAGTTAAACTCAATTTACAAGTATCTTTTATTGGACTTCCGTTTATTTTTGTTCTACATTACTATCAGTGTTGGGGTTTTGTGGGGATTGTAGAATTCTCATAATTTACATCACAAACTTATGTTAGTTAGATAACCATTGAAAACAAGGGAACATTGGAAAGTTGTTTGATCCCACTGTGGAACTCCTCAAAAGTATGCATCCAAAACCTAATCATGGTTTGAACACAGGACTTTTAGTTTCATATGTGAGGGCCTAACCATCAGATCATTAAGCGTGTGCTCTATAGTGTGTATTGCTTAACTTCAATCAGTTCTCCATATCGCTCAACGATCATCTAATCTCATTAGTGGGTAACTGCCTCAAAAACGACATGGTTCAACGCCACCCATCACAGCTTCTAACGAGATAATTGTTTAATGAGTCAGTGACTACATATAAAATAGGTGAACTTGTAGTGTTCATCACGAACATTGTTACCAATGTTAAGGATCCGCTCATTGATAACTAAGTTAAAGAAGCAATCCGGATGTTCTAGTGAGAACATTTGGCTGGTGGAATCTAACTAAGTCGAATGTAAGATACATATAATCTATGAAAATGGGAAATGATCCCAGAGCAATATCACGAACTGACTGTAGCTATAAACCGGTATCATTGGGACTCAACTTTTTGATTTAAATGTAAAGCTGTCGTTGTGAAGTTTTTAGTTCTTAGTTTCTATTATTTGGTGTGGAGTAATAGATACTCATTGTTATCTGATACTCTTCAGCCTAGTTTTCAAAACATAATCCCGTTAGTTATGACTCTGATTTACATTCCATCACTTCTCTGAATTCCCAGTACTCTGATTAGTAGGCTTGTAATGGACGAATTTTGAGCTGGACTCTGTCTATATTAAATTGTAATCAGAAGGGGTTTTATGGAGATTTCATTATTTTCATAGTTGAAATCATTAGTCAATTGAAGCTAGACCACCATGGAAAACCTGGAAGCACTCGACGACCTATCGTGGGACTCCTCAGCAGTGCACATCCACGATTCCTCCCCGCGAGATTCGAACCCACGACCTACCAGTCTCGCGCCAGAGCACTTAATCGATAGACCACTGAGCCGGCCGGCATCCAACGGTGTTAATGTCTAACCTCAACCAATCCACAAAGCTTGAGCAACCATTCACCAATTGTCTTCAGTGAGTTGATATCTCACAACAGACTTGGTAGAACTCTATTGGTCACTGCTTCTCACTATAGGCGTTGTAATGAAATACCCATAGTATATTTATCATATGTAACTTTTTCAACACTTGCAATCAAATTAGTTTGAAATCATTTGAAGTAAACAAATTGTTATTGTTTTATTGTAAAATTCTGTTGTTTTTTTGTTACGATTACTTTCTCTAAAAACTAAAATGAATATTATTTTGAAATTTACTTTACGCGCGTCCTGGATTCCAATGCTAGCCACTACCCATCTTTGCTTACCATGTTTGTGAATATTATTTTGTTTTTCATCAATTATACAATGTATAGTTTTATCTTCAAAAATTCATGTTTATCTAAAAATCACGTTTCCACAATGACGTACACACATGAATTCACACATACGCACACAGAGAGAAACATGCTCATACATATATAAACCATTATAAGAATACATTTTATAATAATAATAATAATAATATTTGGTTATGTAAATTACCTTTTTCTCAAAGTATCGATTATCTGTCTTTATTTATTTTTTTGTTACTTAAGCAAATAAAAGAAATAAATGAAGATTATTAAACGTAACCATAATAATATACACAAAAATTTTTATTATTTATATTTAGTTCAAATAGTCAATAACATACAATGAAATGGTCTAAATAATGAATGATTCTATATATATATAATTATAATATAATAATGTTATCAGAAGGGGATTTGTGGAGATTTCAGTATATTTCAAAGTTGAAATCATGAGTCAATTGAAGCTAGACCACCATCGAAAACCTGGAAGCACTGGACGGTCGTTTCGTCCTATTGTGGGACTCCTCAGCAGTGCACACCCACGATCCCGCACTCGCGAGATTCGAACCCAGGACCTACCAGTTACGAGCCAGAGCCCTTAACCGATAGACCACTGAGCCGGCCTCCAACTGGTAAGTCCTGGGTTCGAATCTCGCGAG